GTAGCGGAGCTGACTGGGAGTGACACACGTCTTGTGCTACAGCCTGATGGGTTAACGGGAGGTCGGGGCAGACCTCCCGCGCCCGCGAAAAGGCTGGGAGCCAGTCGAAGAGGACTGCTCTTTGCCCTTACCCTTGGCGGGACGGCTCCTCCGCCTACCCCTGCCTAGCGGCCGAAGCCAGCCAGCAGACTCGGGTGTAGGCTGCACCCCGGCGGAGGAAGGAAGCAGGGAGCCGAGGAGGCGAAGCCCAGCGGGTGCTCCAACAAGGCCTTAGAGTCCTTGAAGGAGGTAGCTGCAGCGGCAGCCTCCCGGATGACCTGCTGTGCCCCAGGAAACAGCGTCGCTCCCAGACGGTAGGGGAGGGCCAGCAAGGTCTGCTGTGTAGCAGCCGAGTACCGAGACGTCGACAGCCACAGCTTGCGCATCCCCATGACTGCGCACATCACCGTCGACACAGCCGACCGCAAAGAGTCGCGCGCGAGGTGTGCCTGGACTTCGGATAGTTGACGGAGCAGAACGACATGCGGATAAACGTCTCCAGCGTGCCCCTCCGCCTCCAGGGCCGACCTCTGGATTGAGGAGAGGTAGGCCTCGTGGACCACTACCTGCACCTGCTGCATAGCGTTCCGGTAGACCTCCTCGTAGGTCCGGTATGCATGCCGCAGGGGGGCGCCCGCGAGGGCAAAAGGTGGTGTCAAAGCGCCCTTGCCTGGCAGCGGGAGCTGCTCCGGGAGGAAGCGAGCCTCCCCAGGGCGACCCGAGTGAAAACACATTAGATGCGACCATTGGTACAGCGAACAGGGAATCTTCCCCAGCTGGTACCTCCGGACAAGCTCAGGCAAGTCAAAGCGGGCGGGACCCAGACAGGAGGGATGCGACCACGTCCTGCACCAAGGGCGGCAGAATGCGAGCTGCGTCTGCGTAGGCTGCCGAGGGCAAGCGCCTGCGCCTGGCAAGCGGAACTCAGTCGAGTCCGGCGGCTGGTAGGCACCGCGGCCTGGGGAAGGAACTTCGGCAATGCGCTGCGGACTTCCCTCAGAGCCGGCCAAAAGCGGAAGGCACCCTCCTGCTCCTCAACCTCCCCAGTGTCCATGGACTGCGTCGCCCGAGCCCGAGTCGAGGCTGGGTCTCCTCGCGAGAGGACCCGAACCCGACCCGGTGGGCTGCCTAGCACCAGTCACAGAGGAGAGGAAGAACAGACAGAGCCCCAGCGTCAGCACCTGCCATCACGCACGAACCCCGGTCCCGAGACGCTGGAGGCAGACCAGGCAGAACTAGTGCCTCCGCTCTCATGGGGCGGGACGGTCGCAGGGACCGGAACCCCAGGAATCCTCAACGGACCCTGCGCCAACTCCGAGAAGAGGACTGGGGCCCGAAGCCTCCCCCTCCCAGAGGGGCGTCCGGACCCGAAGCCAGAGGCAACGGATCGACAGACGCCTCCAGGCCGAGGGATCGAGCCAGGCTCGGCGATCCCACCCCCAGACTCTCCGTCCCCTGCTCCAGAGTGGGCGAGGAACTCCTGGCGGAGACCTCCAACCGACTCGTGAACAAGGGACTTCACCGAGTCCATGTGCTGCTGGAATAACTGAGTAATCAGAGACATATCAAATCCGCTACTAGGAGCATTGGAAGGCGACTGACTGCGCGACTTTCTGCCTTTACTTCTAGGCTTTTTTGCTTTTGACGGGGGGACCTGGGTCAATTCCCCTCCCGCCTCACGCATCTCCCTATAGAATAGGAAGTCGGCCGCCCGTCTCTTCTTGGCCCGGGGGGAGAAACCCATACAGATCTCGCAAGTTTCCGCGATATGGCGGTTTTCTCAAGGCACACGATACACTTATCATGGCGGTCGGCCCGGGGGATACTTTGCCCGCAGACCGAACATGAAGAAAACACCTGAAAGCAAACACGCAAGCATGTAGCTAACAGCGGACCAGCAGTCTAAGATACACGTAGAAAACATTGAAAAATACGTGAATGCGACCACGGGAAGAAATAGTTGGTTCAATACGCAATATTACAACCACGTGGCACGCTAAACTTCCCGCCATGGCAGAGCAACATGTGCGTAAACCACGGGAAAGTTAGCGTAAAATAATTAATACAAAGTCACAATTATGAAACAACCGACCGCAAAGCTTTACTGTTCCTTACAAGGACAAAAAAAAGACCATACATACAGGTGGTGGCGTCTCAGACATTATTCTCTTTAGTTCACAAGAGTACAGCTCTGCTCGACACATGCGTCTTTACAAGGCAGTGACAGCAGAAGGAATGATGATACGGGCCTAGGTGCTTACCCAGTTGGTGCGCATGCGCAACGGGAGGTAACTCCACGAGGTGGGGGCCGTATAATAAATAAAAAGTTTTATTTATTGTACAATATTTTTTATTCAAAAACATTGATACAACTGTCACAGGACATTTTCAGCTCTGAAAATGCATAATATGTACCCCAAGGACGATCTCTATGAAGAAGAATAAGTGAATGCGACCACAGGAAGAAATACTTGGTTAAAACGCAATATGAAAACCATGTGGCACGCTAAACTTCCCGCCATGGAACAGCAACACGTGCGTAAACCACGGGAAAGCTAGCCTAAAAATTTGTTACAAAGTCACAATTATGAGAAAACCGACCGCAAAAGTCTTACTGTTCTGTTCAAGGACAAAATAAAGACCATACATACAGGTGGTGGTGTCTCAGACTTTATTCTCTTTATCTCTTTCGAAGACAAGGTATTCAGCGCAACTCTACACATCCGTTCAGTGGAGTTATAGCAGAAGGAATGATGATACGGGCCTAGGTGCTTACCTGGTTGGCTGCGCATGCGTAGCGGGAGGTAACTCCACGGGGTGGGGGCCGTATAATAGATAAAAAAAGATTTTATTTATTGTACAATATTTTTATTAAAACATTGATACAACTGTCACAGAACATTTTCAGCTCTGAAAATGCATATATGTACCCCGAGGCAAATCTCTATGAAAAAGAATAGGATCGTGTTGAAAACTAGCAGAGTTCAGACAAATTTGGTCGTATCTAGATGCAAGTTCACGATCGTCATTGAGGATGTAAAAAAACAGTGATGACAAGTCCCATGCTTCATGTTGAATGTAATAGATAGAACATCTGGTATTTTCCTAGGTAGCTGTAGGTGGTTGGCGAACCAAGCGATTATGTGTTTCGAATCAACCAAAGCAATTCCTGCATCTTAAAGGCAACTGGCATAGCCCGAACCATGAAAACAAAGACGAAGTTCGATGTGGGTTAAGTGTCTTGGGAGGCATCCCAGACACAATTTGCATAGGCTCTGACGAACCAATAGGCTGGTAAGATGCGCAGTGTTGGAAATAACACGAGTGGTGAATTGCCGAATTCGGTGAATCAGCTCAATTGGTAGGCAAGGTCCGAGGAACAGATTTTTTACGAATGCTGACATTTTGATGAATGCTGACGATTCAGTGATCTTGAACGGCCAGGTGAACTGGTTCGGCGATATGAAGCGGTTCTGGGCCTGGTGAAACGGGACGAGTCGGACTAGTAAATTGGTTCAGCTTCGTGATCTGATTCAGAATAGTGATCCAGAACATTGATGTGATCTGAAACGTTTAAATGATCTCAGCTGATGGAGATATCTAGAATGATCAGATGAACCGGTGAGGTGAAATGCTCCGGCCGAGGTGAATTGGTTCAATGAGGTGAATCGTTTCAGTGAAGAGAGCCGTTACGGCGAGGCAAACCGTTTCGGTGCGATGCATCGCATCGATGATGTGAACCGTTTCGGCGATAAGAAACAATCTTATATATGGCGAATTGAGTCGATGTCGGGATCCATTCGAACGGTTCGGCCTGGTGAATCCATTCGGTGTGGCGAACCGATTCAGTTTGGTGAATCGGTTCAGCAATTTGACGATGTAGATCAGCTGTGTGAGTCAGCTGGCAACACAGATCGGTTCGATGAGGCGGAACGACGAGTAGACATCTGATGATGCGCCAATAAAATCATCACCTTCCGACATGGGAATCTCCAAATGACGAGCAGTTAATACTGGTCGTTGAAAGCAGGGGTTTTGTCGGGTGATCAACTGCTGAAGTGTAACGAGCTCTGTCTGCCAGCCAAAGGGAGCAAGCATGTCTACATGCTCTAAAAACGTCCTTGATAAGGGAGCACATTCCCGACAACGCTTGCTTCAGGAACACAGGTCAATACAACCCACACATGACGCGTGGGGATCCGAGGAAGAAAATATTGTTAAAGTGTGCGCAAAATTACACTACTTAGGGTTAACTACCCATGATATATTGCTCATGTTAACTTTTAAGGAAAACAGAGAACTCTCACAATACGTCCACACAGTGGTGCAACAAGAAGAAGAATGATCATTCTGAGGTAGTCATGTGGGTAGACAGGGGAACATGCTGCACTCTTAGCCAGGGACTAGGGGCCTGTCCTATAAAGAGAGCAGCCTGGGGAACACGGGCGTATGGACAAGAGAGGCCTACAGGAAAAGTTCTCATTCGTTCCACTCAGCGTCGAAGCAAGAGAGAGAAGTGCAAATCATGAGATAGGATAAGTTTATAAATTTCAAGGATGTCATCTTGCGAAAATATAAGCAAATAGTAACCATGTCATTAGAAACCCATAAGCGTATATACTGCAGGTCAAATATTTGTGTTTTATGTGGATTTTCGTTCGTTGATAGATCAGTGTCAGCAATCAGGGAAGATAAAATCAAAAAAACGTTTTGTAAGTCCCCCGAACCCTAACAAGTAGTTGTTGTCTGATTGGTTTAATCCGTTCAGCCGTCTCGCGTTTGATTGGACGGTCATAGGTCGCTCAAAGTTTAGCTGACGCGACCTTCTAATAGGTTTTGTTAGACTCAGTATAGCAGTGTCATGAATAATACTGGGCCTAAGTTTACTTAGACTGCCCATGGGATAAACCAAAAAGGAATGGAGTGAAACCCAAGGTTACTCATCAGAGCAGACAACTTACCTTCTTCTAGCACTGGATCAGGTTCCTTGGTTGCATCTTTACTTGAAGACTGCTCACTGTCTTTGTACAATATCTGTGGTAAAGCATGGAGCATTCTTTGAATGATGTTTTAGGTATGGAACATAATTTATCTGAAAAATACTGTGAACTGCATCTAAATATTCACAACACGTATCCTGCCTATAGAAATGAAAGCTTTGTGTTTAACTTACCCCTGGAATGAATGATCTCAGATCAGGGAGAGATTCATAGAATGTTCTTGTGTCTTCATCTTCAAACAAAGTGCAGTCTCCCTTCATACTGGCACTGCAAATTACACACATACAATTGATGGATGGCGCACCTACACAATTATTATCATTCAAATAGTGAATGAGCAAGCAAATGTGTTTTGCTGTTCACAGCATTCAACAGTATTCCAGCTGTATGACAGAATCTTATAAATAACTGAATCTGTAGCCAACAATGCAGTGATTAATAGTATGAACAACAATTGACAATATTTTGGTAAAATGGCTTAAAATCAATCAAGTCATTGAGTCTTGTCATCTGATAGAATGGGGCACCTATAAGAACAAGGCCTATTCTAAACCCAAAGTGGATACAATGGATGAGAGTACGTGGCTGAGTCTCCAAGTCTGACCACCCAATCATTTTATAGAGTTGGCATACACACAAAACATTGCTACTGCAGTAAGCTTTTCATACAGACTAGTCCTGCATAATCAGAAGAGTTATTTTTTCAATCAAATGGGATTCACAGCCTTATTACAGCATTGATAATTCTAGATGCTCAGAATTCAAAGAAACTAAAATACATACAGAATGTGTTTTGCTGTATGATTTTATACAGCTTTTAATCACATGTATAGCCATGCAAATTAGTTTACAATGTGGTCAAAATTAGCAATTGTTACTGATGGTTTGTGTGTACATTTGACAATATACAAAGAGATCTGTAGCAATTAATTATTGTTAGAAATACCGTAGGTAATGATATCCTAAATTGTCTTGTTTTTAAAAGTTTATTTTTTCAGCAGATCATGTGATAAAGTCTAATGACCATAACCTTAGTGCTAAGGTTGGCACACCAAGTTAAGATCAAGAAAAGGTTTCTTTGTGAAAATGGTGCGACTGCAGACTAAGTAACATAATTCTGATGTTATTGGTTAAGGTTAACCTTAGCTGAGACTGTTTTGTGAAAGTTGGTCAAATGCTGACTTGCACAAGTGCTGAGACTTTTGTTTCTCCCATGATTTGACATGGACTTGCAAGAGCCTCAGGATTAAGACTGATTTGTGCAGGTAGGTCCAGATTAACTTGTATGCATATACTAATGTCAGCTTTTAAGCTTTGCACTGGTACAGTACCTCAGTTCCTTTCATAGGACTGAAAAAATCAAACATTCCTCCGGTTTCATCTTGTTTTAGATCTGAAAATGAAATACAATGAACATAACAACAGGTTGTGTAACCATGGTAACAACAAACACCTTCAAAACAAATCAAAGAAATATTTTGACTTAAGCTGACACTGCTAGTACCAGTACTGGAATTTCTGAGCTGTGCTTTTGAATTTATAGTTAAGCAATAATAAAAGTAGAAATATCTATTTAAGTACATACATAAACACCTTTATTGCATACACCTATGTCAATGTAACTTTTGGAAGATGTATTGTTTATCAAATAAACCTGTCAGAAAAAAAATGTATTACAAACCTTCATCTGGAAGGTCAGGTAAGTCTTCATCTAGTAGATCCTGGAAAAAATGCAGGCTCATATGACACACTACCATTAAAACACACATTCACACATACGAAGATAACATACTGTGTCTAACAAAATTCACCTGGAAAAGAAGATACTTGTCCATGTTGTAATGAGAGCCACAGATCTCAAAGTAGAAAAAAGGAAGGGAGTGACTGTGTAATACTGTAAATGTACTTTGTTTCGCTTGGTGCAAATTTCGCGGAATTGACAGCTTAGACTACATCACGCGGTCAATTATTCGCACAATCAGTAATTGCCGGAAATGCCAGCTGTCTCTTAGGCCGCCACTGATAGCAATGAAAACAACCAGAGTGGCTTAACCTGTCAGGCGGCGTGTATTGCTTACTCACAGGAAATCCCTACCTGCGCGATATATACAGTAATAAGTTTACTCAGGGTAGTATTAAGTACTTAGGAAGTGAGATATCGTGATGGTACTAGTATACTATATAAAGAGATGAAAAACACATCAGTCTCATGTTCTGAATTCTGACGATGGCATTGCGAATGTGGTTAAAGAAAGCACCAAACCCCAAAACACCTGGACTTCCAGACTTTGTGATTTCATTTTGTGATATGCAGGAATAGAAATAAATAAAATCTTAATGAATAAATAAAATACTGCTGTATTATTTCTTTCCGAGTCATTTCATGGTAATCCGTTTTGTATCAAACCATCTGTCACTACGATTGGTCAAAATAGAACATGTCGGGACATGATTTGGGAAATCCATTGCAGTGACAGTTAAGTATGATTCTTTATGCTACTATCAGTCGTCATTTTAAGATTCCCATAGATTTCTGTCTTCAAACTTGATGTGTTATGGTAACAACTCAGAGGCGGGCGTGGGTAGAGTGAATGAATGAAAGGTTTATTCGCTGTGTATAAATTTTCGCGGTAAAATAAAACCTGCGCGATATATAATACGTTTACAGTATACAATATTCTGAAGAGTAGAAGCTGAAATGTCATCTCCAATATCATATATATGCTTAGTCAGAAACATGCTTGACCAACTGATGACTGGACATTAAATTTATATTTTGCCAACACTTGTCTTGATAACAAATCCTAGAGTTTCATGTCCTTATCTTACTTACAGCTAGAACTGCTGCACTTGTGTGAAGCTTCTGGTATGCTGTCAAGGCATTCTCATACCCATCACGTCTCTCAGTGCTCAGTTCACCTTTGGTCTGAAAAAATGACACTTTGATAACTAGCAGCTTGAACAACACTGCATGGAGAACTCACAAGCTAGAACTTCACATAAGAATGACTCAGGCAATATTTTTTATTCACATTAAAATCTGTCAGTGGGTGAGATGGGTTCAACATCACTTTGAAAAGAGTTATTCATTGTGTGTCAGCTTAATGTGGGAAGAAAGCTCAAGCTGGTCAGCTACAAGGAAGGGTATGACACTGACAAATAAGAAACATAGTCAGTGTAATCTAGCATGCAAACTTCCAATCACTGGAATCAAGGTTTTGAAAGGGATGTTGCACAATACTATGTAGACAGAGACAAAGAGTGAATGCAATATTAACACAACTCATAATTGTTAGGACTATCATATGACTATATACAGTTTTTACAACACAAGGACTTGTAAAATTCATTAAACTATAACTTGTAGAAACTATGATACCTGTAGGATTCTTCGGTTTTGTCTTTCCATGCCCTTCAGCTCCTTGTGGTCTTTGATGAGGTGTTTCATCAGGGAACTGGAGTAGTCTTTCAGCAAGTTCCTGCAAGCTTTCTGGCGTTCAGGAGGCAGCAACTAATTTGACAGGCAGAGTTCCTTCAACATGAGTGACTCAACAAAGGTTAACAACATGATAGGTATCATATTGGTATCAGCAATACACCAGCAATATGACAAGAGGCTTGGTTGGACAGACAACCAAGTGATTGTTTGGTAGCCAACATTTCCTTTCATCTGGGTACACTGACATGCTATCAACCAAGTCCCTAGGCCTGGGAACTTGAACCATTACACTGGCTCATACACTAAGCATAAGTCGTTGGGCATCTTTTTGCTACAATATTGCGAGCAAGTGACCAATTGGTGATCAACCACACCATATTGTTCTCTCCAAAGCAGGCAAGAATTCTTTAGCACATTTTTAGCAAATATGCAGTCAGTGTTATTATCTTCACTCACCAATATTACAACATTACTTCATCCTCTTACTAACTGAAACTAGACATGACAATCCAATGTTGTTTTAGTGTGATCCAACTGATGTATCAGCGAGGCCAAACATTCTTTTACAATGTTACCATTCAATCCATGTACAGACTTGTGCCACTTAAAGTTGTCAATTCACAGCAGTCCGTGGCAGTGTAACTTTTCATGATCATGTAAACACTTCTCTCAGAGCATGCAAATATGGCTTGTCAACGCTTGATATTTTACATGGCATACATTGGGGCACATGATTGTCACATGAAGTCATCCAAATTGTCGTCTGCTTGTCCACTGATATCATACGACAGCATATTACATCACGGTTTTGAAATCTAACCAACAAAGATTTACAGGAAGAGGGGAAAAATTACAAAATTATATTTGTATTGTTAGACATTCAAAAGTCTACTGTAAGCAAAATTGGCACATCTGACAAGTATATAGGAAGGCAAGTCATTTTAAAAATCAAGTCAAAATGTAAACACAGAGCGTACAACAATCATCTGACATGCTAAGCTCACCTTGCTTTTCATAATCTCTGCTCCATGATGCTTCTCAGAAAGCAACCTGTAAACAAGAAAGTGGTTCTTAACAACAAACTGGAAAAGAACTGACCTTAGAGTCACAATCTTAGCCATTCCCATGTAATGGTAAACGACATTTAAAAACCAACACACTATCTACCAATACATAGTGTATGAATTGAACATATTTAAGGTAATTCTTTCCACCTTAACACTGTGAGGTTTTCACATACTTTGAATGCATGCTCCTAACAACACCATGATACCTATGAATCTAAATAAATCCCATGTGACAAATACTCAGTAACGCTCAAATATATAAGTCATGTTTTGCAGCAATGAGCAATATTTTAGCTATATTGAGTCAGTGCCACACAATCAAGTGGTTGATATTATAAGTAAGGTTCCAAGCTGCTGGGATGAAGCAAGAACAAAATCTGAGCACCTGACCCATCTGGTCTCCTGAAACAACCAGCAGTTTTTCTGAGAACCAGTTCCAATCCAGAATCTCCACATGAGTTATTTCCTAATAAATATTTTTGCCTGTAGCTAACCTGATCTTCCTTGGCATGATACCAACAAAGTCATCCCCACAGTGTTTACAGAAGCTGGAGATGATGGACAGGTTATTGTGCTCATCCTTGTCGTTGTTCACCAGTATTGACAGTTGATTGGCCAACACTGGCAGACCTTCCTTCAGGGAGAACACGCCCACAGATATCAGTTCCGCGAAGAAACGGAGATCCACACGATACTTGCTTAGATTTGAAATCTACAACAGTAATGGTGACCTTTCTCAGCAGGAAAAACTTTGTAAACTTTTGGCTAATGAAATTACAATGGAATAAAGAAGAACGTGTTCAAGTGTGGTGATTCAGGAAATGCCTGGAATTTCTCAAAATGTTCTTAAACCAACCAAACTAAGCTCACATTATTTGACAAATATCTGCACCATCTCAGATATATTTATGGCGTACTGTAGCAAAATCACTGCATTGCAGTCAAAATGTCAAAAGTTGACATTAACCAATCAGAAAGCAGTTACTTCAACATCAGATGTTGCTTTGAAAAATATCAATCAAATTTGAAAACTAAACAAAAGAACATTGTGAAATATCTGATAGATTGTTGTGTGCCCATACATACCATGGGCTATGAAAAGTCTCTTTCATTTCAAATGTTATCCCATCAAACCCAGTGATGGACAATCATTTTGACAGAATCAGTCATACAGCTCGATACCGTCAATTGTGTCACTACTTTAACATGTATTCATATACAAGAAATTTTTAAAGCTTTTCTAGTTTTGTGGCTAAACCTTCAGAGCTAAAATTTGCACATTGAAATACAAGAAAGTGCTGGTATCTTGCAATTCGGATAGTCTGTCGACCATATCAAGTCAACAGTCAAATTATATTTTACACTGTTCATATGAATTGATTTTCTTTCATTCTCAATCAACTGCCAATGAAAATCATAGCAATAGGTAAGAAAATACAAATGTCATTTAACAAAATGTTAATAAAATTTTCTTCAAGAAATAATCAGCATCTGATTGGTATTTCTGGCAAAAAACGCCTCATGGACTTAACACATCATTTGTCTCTGATTGAAACTAAAACATGCAGTAAACAGAACCTTCAAATAGATAACATTAACATTATAATACATACTCACATGAGCATCGACAATAAGTAATTTGCCCCTTTTGTGTATTGCCATGACAACCTGTGATTGCAAGTGGTGAATTTCTTCTGGATTAAAGTCAACACTAATCTTATACCCTATAACTAAATATCAGGTCTTCTAGGAAGTCTCAAATTAACATCATAATATGAATTTCTAAAATGTTCACATTTCATCATTAAGCCTGTACCTAGCAAAGACAAAATGAGTGTGAAATACTTTACAAAATATCAATATTTAACAAAATACCCCCAACAGAAAGAGTATCTATATCACATTGCTAACTTGATGTAAGATATGGACAGCCTATGAGGATTCAATCGTAAGACTAAAGACCCAGTTTACAAGAGCATCGCTATCAATAACCTGATGTAATTTCTGTTCACTGAAAATCATCCTCACTACACGGTAGTATGTTTTTCTTCTGCACAAATTTTCAGAAGTCAGTGATTCAAAATCATGTAAGTTCATGTTTAGCCTAATATCTGAGTGAACACTGCAGGGTCTCCCTGTGTCGGTACCTTCTCATCCTTCTTGTTCAGCAGATACTTCTGGAAGTTCTCCAGCAGTGCAGGAGTAAACTCAGCATATCTCTGATGCATCAGGCTGCACAGCTGCACTGCCGACTGTACGTCAGACATCTTCAGTTTCACCTCAGCGAGGGCAGATGCCTGAACGTTAGAACATTGTTGTGAAATTATAGTGAATAGACTAAACAATGTGATATAAATATTACCAATCCTACGATTTCAATCACAGGACCTTCCACATATATATACCAAAGTAAACTTGGAAATTTCAGAAGTATTCATTGGAAAATATACAGTTAACAAAAATAAGTTAAATAATGAAAAGAAAGGAGCACTATCATAATTCCAAAACTACCAAAAGGAACCAGTACACCACTAGACTAATCTACAAGTTTGGTGAAAAGGTATGGTACCGAATGTTAAATCTGACAGGTATATTTGCTTTGAGAAACATTCCCCAACTTATCAGTGTGTAAAATAATTCAGAAATCATTCAAAGTCAGCTGAGCCTATCTGATTATGCCAATGTGGAAGTAACGAAAATATTGAATATCCACAACAAAGTACTTCTTCATATTCTGCTGTCAATATTACGCACTTATCTATACATTCACTCACAGGTATGAAAAAGGATCATGACATGATAGCTATACTCAGCAACAGATTGAATGCTTTAATCAAGATTCAGCATTGCTGTAGGCCTGTGAACTAAGCAAACATCACTGTCAACTTACAGCTTCCCCTATGTACTTGGTCAGGTTCAGACTTCCAAAATCCTTGATTAAGCCTTCGAACTGTGATTCTGTCATGTTCCTCTGCAATAGATTGAAAAAAAAAAAAATGAAATATTTACATACTTTGTGTAACATATTCACTCTTCAGTGATGATTTATAAAATTTAAAGGCAAGAAAGACTTGCAGAATGTATAAGGGAACAAACGTGAATGGGTGGCAGTTTTCTCAATACTCACCAGTCGTTTCACAAATGCTGTATTCTTTTTCAAGCTTGAATCGAGTTTCCCAAAGAAAGACTCATCAGGCCTATTTTCTATAGAAAACAAAACATAAAGTAGCAACAGTATGGTTATTTATGATAGATATAATATATAAATCTGAACTCCAGATAATCAGTGTATTTGCAAAATATACATTATACATAAATCATGTATTTTTTAGAGCAAAAATATTAATTAACACTTAGGCCAGACCAATTTTATTTCTTGTTGTACGGATCCGCCGGTCCTATTTTTTCAAGAATAAGAAAAAATAAATAAATTATTTTACCCACTCAAAAATGTAATTTTTTAAGTAAAATTGATATTTTATATTTATCCTGACTCATGCTTATTATGCTGATCTCCTTCTTCTATGCGAATGGTAGTGGAACACTTGAATCCCTTGCAGTTCCCTCTGAAGAGGGCGTAAGAGTACACTCACCCACGAGTTGCCTCCCTTGCATACTTTGCCACCAACCATGACTAACCATGTCACTCTCTCCTGAATATGCCTGACACTTAGATGTACTGTGAAATCCGAAGTGCCATAAGTGGGGAGGTTGGGAGGGCTTGATCTCATGAGTCAGGATAAGGAAAAATTATCAATTTTACTTAAAATATTACATATTTTTCCTTATCCTGACTCATACTTATTATGCTTCCAGAATCCAACGGATTGGTGGTGGGTCAGGCCACTTCGTGGATTCATCAGCTGTCTTTAAGATGCGTCCTGTATCTCCCCCCATGGGAACTATGTAACGGCACTCTTTGATCCAGTTCTTCCAACTTTCACCTGTCAACTCGAGGGGACCACATCTTGTCAGACTTCTTAAGACAAGTGAATCTATCCGATTCATGTGGATTTTAGATATACTAGTATTTCTTTTTACTACAGCAACTCATGGATTATGATATCTTCTTTATCATAAGAGGTGCAACCCTTTCCATGTACGAGTATTTTCCATACAAGTACAGGGTCTTAATCACTCATGCTAGCCTGTCCTAGACGTACGCATGGACTCTCAACCAAAACTCTCCAGAGCGAAGGTTATCAGCAAGTCACGTGATAAAAGGGTGAGATTTCATCTCAGCACCTTTGTGGAACCATTAGTTGTTGTGCTACAACAAGTGGCCCAAATTGGTGAATGCCGGAAACGTCTTTAGTGGTGATATCTCTGAGGTAAAAAAATACCTCTGAGATGTTCTGAGATAAAATGCTGATCCTTCTTCTGTGTAAGCAACGCTGAGAGGATCATCCTATCTTCCTCTGTACTGGGGTTCCTGAACTTAGAAATCAGCGCTTGCTTCGTTGATTGCTCTTGATCTTGCTAAGCCAGAGAATGTTCTTCTGGTTGTAGTATCCAACTGAGCAATCTTTTTATCATCCACCTTGTAGGACTTGTTACGAGACTCGTTAATAAACTTGTAACCTTCGTCCAAGTCCGGCGCTCTCCAAAAGGGCTCCATGTGATGTAAAGGGAATCTTTTCGCATTAGATATTGGTATATGTTTATTCTGGTATTTAGTAGCATTGTCAAAGGTTGTGCTGAGGCTTGCAGGCACTCTGGAAATCGGATCAATAGGCAAGAACGTGAGAGAGTCGAAATCTTCCTCTGTCATTTTATACGTGAGTGCTTCATTCCACTCCTTGGATGGAGATTCTAAGTCCCATCCGTTCGCAGTCCAGGACATAGCCTCGCCATCTGAGAAGACCAGGTCGCCCTCTTCATCTGTAAGGGTTCTTTCTAAATCCGATGAATTGTGCCTTCGTGTATCCTCCTTTCGCGAATGCATTTGTGAATGCCCCATCCGTGAATCCTCCTTTCGTGAGTGCTCCCTTCGTGAATGCTGCTCTCTGTCAGTAGGTGACATTGATCTGTATTTGTACGAGCTGCGAGATTTCGGAGCGGAACGGCTAGATGTAAGTGAGGATTCCTTCCTGCTTGACATTCTGGAATGCTGAGGATGTGTGGATGCCTCTTCATGAACTGTAGTAGAGTCTTCTGTCTGTGAGGACCTTCTTGAATGCTGACGTTCGTGAATGCTCTCTTCATCTGTAAGATGGTGAACTGTAGCTGTCAAGTCCTCAGGAACAGGTTCACGAATGGCAGCTGTCATCGTAGACTTTTGCTGTGCAGCTCTTTCTTCTGCAAACCGTTGTTCCATCATAGACATCATCTGTTCTGTGAACTGCTTCATGAATGCCCCAGGGTCAAAATTCTGCGCTGTAGGCTGGAACTGTTGTGGAGATGGTGAAGCATTCGAGAATGCTGAGCCTTCCTCTAATCTGCGTTGCAACTGTGACGAGGATACACTGCTGCAGTCTCTGGTACCTGATGTCTGCGTAGCTGACGGGGGTCTTCAAGCTGATGAGTTGTTGTAGATGTTGATCTCACCAAAGAGGGACGCTGTGATGCTTTACTCGTGACTGTAACTTCAGGCAGCAAAATCGGTGGATCATCGAATACGTCTACTTCAGCCGGAGGCACAATGTCTTTAATAAAGGACCTCTGAGGTGTAGTCTTACTTGAGTGAGAGAGCCGAGGATCTAGATGCTGACAATTTCTTCTTCTGTACTGTAGATGAAGAAGACTTCTGTTTCTTCATCTGTGAAGACGTCAGCTCTGTAGAAGATGACCTCTTCTTTAAGTTGTCTTTGATTGTTTTTTGACCCATATAAACTTCATAAATTGCCAAAAATAAAATACTTATAGTATTTAAAAGGAAAATTATTTAGACTAGGGACTATTTTTTTCCCTCCTGCCTTTAGGTTTTCTGAGGACAAAAATCCGTAAAACAAGAAATAAAGTTGGTCTGGCCTTATCCTGACATACTATTTGCTTCTCTCTCCCTTACCCCTGAGATACAGTGGAAACATTCTGTCATGTTCCCCAAGAACAGTAAAAACATCTCACCTGAAAGCACCCCACCACTGAGCATGCGCACTGGCCTCCCGGCCACTGACTATCACTCACTCTGTCTCTTTCCATTCCAATTTCCCAATAGTAAAAGAAAATTGTGAAGAGTGGGGATGGTTGAGGGGGTACTTCAATTAGCGTATGAGTCAGGATAAGTATAAAATAATATTTTTTTAGGGGTGACTATTGAGGGAGAAACAACTATTGCGATAGCGATAGTCTATTGCAACATACTACTGTGATTGTGAAAGTCTATTGGGACCAACTATTGTTATACTATTGCAATAGTTTTTCTTCTCCTTCAATTGTCTCATTTGAACTCATTTCCCAAATGATTGACATAAAACCAAGCTGAAGTAGTTTCAGTCTCTTTTAATAACTGACAAGAAACTTGAGATCCAGATCAAGTAAACAGTTAACACATAAACTCAATGAAGCTGCAAGTCTGCACCCAAACATCCTGTATTTGCACTTATCAACGGAAGTCAATTACTAAACTATCGATTGTCACACATACTATTGATGCATCGATAGTTTTTTGTTTATCCCATCATTAATTGCTATTCTAAGATGCCTAGCGGTTAGAACAATAGAAAAAAACAAACATTATCAGACAATAAAGGTATAGTTTTTTGATGACGTAACAATTGAATGACATTATCCCGTCACTGCGCCATTCTAGTGTGCCCCCTCGTAATCGAACCATTTTACATTACATCACAATGTAAGCGACGTCACGATGCAGGTCAGTTGTCATCGCCTCGTACAGCCTCCTACAGTAAACTACTGCGTTGCATCCCGTTTCTTGGTTTGCAGTTGCTTCACTCACCTAACATCACTGGTGGAAACATTACGTTTATGTTTTCTGACTTTTTAAATGTCTCAATTCGACTCGACACGGCTAACGTTCGCAATGTTTACATTCCCACAATGCAATCGTGGAATGTCGCTAGACTACTCAGCTTCGTCTGGATGTACTGATCTAAACATACGTTGGTAGTAGAAATGCGACGTTCACATGGTTTACGTTAATCACAGATGTAATTAAAATACTTTAGAGAAGATATTTAATCCGAACGTAAACCGTCCATGAAACTGTTTATCATTTGTTTTTCTGGTAACGTTAGCCTTAACGTAGGGGGCAGACACATCAATAGAACAGCCCAGTTAGCCCTGTCGCGAGGATTCTTAATTTAGGTCACCGACACACCGCCCGTATAGGGTTTTCTGCCCTAAATTAATCGTAATTATCCTTAGAAAGTATTAAATTTGGCATCTTAGAAAAGAAATACAGTTCGCTTACCACCATGTATAGTGTAATAAAACACACTTTCTCCCTGAACTATTATGAAAAGCACAAGCCGTCCTCGTTAACTTTAACTATAATAGTTCAGGGCAAAAGTGTGTTTTATTACACTATACATGGTGGTAGAGCGAACTGTATTTCTTAATTGGAATCTCAACAATTGCAATCCATCAATAGTTCGATGAACCGTTAGAGCCCTAATATTTTTAGTCTACAATTTACATATTTTTCTGCAAAATCACTATCCCCAAGAGAGGCACAGAAACTGCATATACAATGTATTATCTATGTTGTAATCATGATGCATGATGAACAGACAGGGTGTGGGTCCATTTCTCAGTTTACATATAGCACAGTTTTTCATAAAGAGAGTGTCGGTCGTAATTAAGATAAAAATAAACTTAATCAAACGCCAAAAGTGAAAAAATAATCCATAGATATGATGCATGTTGGGCCAAAAGAGATAATCCAAGCCTAATTGTTACGAAAAACACATTATAATTTGACAGGATAGCTAGGATCAGAAATCAGGCATTTACCCCCAACCATTCCATAAGGTGAAAATGGAGAGTGACAACCACTGGTTGGTCACGTGGGAGGCTGGCACGCATGTGTGGCAGTGTTGGGGTGTCTTTGGGTAAGAGGTTTTCATTGGTTTGTGGCAACATAACACAGAATGTTTATTGACTAATCACACATAATGCTCATGTGGACATGTAGTTTGCAGCATTACAAGAACTGATGCAAATCAGAAATCACCTAAAACACAACATTTTTCAAAAGAAATATTGTTCAAAATGGTCTACATACAGCTTTAAAGATACCACAATAGCGAGATGCTGCTATTATAGCTGAGATGTAAGGTAGAATTACTTACCAGCTGCAGCAACATTCTTCTCTCTCAGAGCTACTCTTGCTGTCAGTTTTTCTCTGGTTTCTTCTATGTAGTCTTTTAACAGTTTCTAAAGAACAGTAGAAAGTTGATAGCAAATACACTGATAAAATGCCACAGCTGTGATTTAAGTACACAAACCTTGTACCATGTTCTATATCAGTTACAAATTAATCAAGATGAATCATCAATAAAGACATGGTTAACTAGGATTGCCTCCTGGGCAATACTGACGGTCTTCAGACTTCCCCATACACCCCCCGTGGCTACCTTTACTTGTACCGTTTCTTTGGACGCCAGCTGGAGCGTCCATTTTAACTGTCGGAGTTACAGGTGTTCGAAGAGTATTGAAGGGCTAGAAAGCGTTCAAAACCCAGGCAGAACACGTTTTCGACACGAGAGCGGATCGGTGAAATGCAGCCGCGGTCGCAGGGGTCATGTAGCTTTTAAGTAGTTCCCATAGAAGGTATAGTTCTCTCTTTAACAGCGCGTAGCTCCGCCGTCCTTGGGTCTCAGTCCAAACGATTAGAGTTCTGGGATCGCCATTACCCTAGCTATCTGACGCATACACGTATGTGCATATACTGCACTTGTGAAACAGCCATAGATTTATGTGTGTGTATAGTGCATTTGTTAAACACCCATTCAAAAATTTGAAATAAAACTCATATCTGACTCCGTACTTACAATGTTTATTAATGCAAACTTGTTCTGGACGCTGTATGGCTAGGATAATGCCGATGTAATGTAAAGGTCAATTCAAGGGCAAGTATTTCTTTAGGCATTGAATGACGGTTCAGCAAAGATTTGACAGCTCCTTGTCATTGTCAATTACATCTGTCGGTGAAATTCACATCGTCTCCCATATCTGCACGTGGACCACGCTTTGCAGTGGTAGTCTCTTTATAGGAGATATCTGTTCTCCCGCGTGAGCGCTCTTATCTGATAGTGAATGACCTGTGGGAAGTTTATCTGTATCATAAATTGCAACTGTGTAATGTGACTAACGAATTGACTGCTTTTAAATTTCGTGTTATGACTTTTTCTGTTTTTAAATGACAACGTAATGAATAGATGTTTTTTAAATAAAACTCATTTTGACTCTGTATTTACAATGTCTATTAATGCAGAATAAAGCTGTCTTTTGCAGTGTTCAAGAACATTCCATGAAATATCACAAAATTGACTTACCGGTTCAGGCTGATATTCAGTCATAGTATAAAGAAATATGTTATGAAGGCTCACAGCAAACTGTCTATAAAACAAACATTTTGAAAATATACATCTTCTCTGCTGAGGAGTATCAAATGTGCGTTTATGTGCTGGATTCCTGCAATCATGATGATGTAGCAGAACGGGTTTGCGCGATCCTGGCACAGTCAGGCTGATAAACAAACTGCTGGAGTCCCAGTTGTTACTTAAAGAGCATTGCTTTTGGGGCACTGGTATACCAGGAAGCGGCGATTGTTGCTAGATTTTACTGGCGCTTCCTGTGAGATGAGATAACTAACTAACTGAAGGAAGCGACAGTAAAATATAGCAACACTCGCCGCTTCCTTTACTTAGTTATCTCGCAACTGACAAAATGCAAAATCCTAATGTCCCTCCCTGTTTGTGGCGTAATTGTGGCGTAACTATTGAACTTTTACATAATAATAATGTGAAGCAAACTTGTTCCACATTTCATTATCTACAGTTTGGCATCTTCAAAAAGGAAATCCATTGTGTTTTCGCAGAGCTGTGAACCCTATAAAAATGAGTTTTGCCAAATATTTACCAACTTCCAAGGGCAATAACTCAGACACCATTCAAGATATCGACATGGCCTGAGCAAACTAAGTAGTCCGGAGTGTGGGCGTTCAAACGATATATAGAACACTATTGTACTATTTGCTGTTCAGGAGCAGAAGATAGTTAAACACAGGCACCGTCAAAAAAGTGCGGAAATGTGCAAAATCGCGAAGGCTGTGTTTGTGTCGTAATGGTGACGTTATTATTGATTTTTTACATAACCATGATGTGAAGCAAAAATGTTTCCCATTCAATTACCTAGAGGATGGTACTTAGAAAAATGGAATCCATTGATTTTTCACAGAGTTGTGACATATTTTTTAACCGTATGAAAATGCGTCTTAGAAAATTTCACCAACTTCCAAGGGCGATAACTCCAAAACTATTCATGAAATCAACATGCCTTGAACAAATTAAGGTGTCCAGCGTGTAGGCTTTCCAACGGTGTATCGAACGCGATTGTACTATATGCCGTTCTGGAGAAGAAGATTTTTAAAGACAGGCACCGTCAAAACGCGGAAATCGGCAAAAAATTCATTTTTTTCAAAATTGCGGAAAATGTGACCTACCGGCCAACTTTTGCTATGTGTTGAATCGTTGGAGAATGGTGTTGTCTACATTGAGTGAAAATTTGGTCAATTTATCTCTAATAGTATTGGAGATATAGAGGTTGAAAAAGTTTGAAATATTTTGACATTTTGGGTTCTCTGCCCTTACCGGAAGCCGGAAGTCTGGATTTTTTCGACTATGTATCAATTTCAGCACACAGGCTATCACCCCTGAAAGTTTCATGAAAATCGGCCAAGCGGTTAGGTCAGGAGAGCTGTCACAAAAATTGTACAAATAATAATAAGAAGAAGAAGAAGAAGAATATTCGGATAATAACAGTAGGTCTTCCAGACTTTCGTCTGAAGACCTAATAAAGGAACCATGATAGAATATAACTGTAACTGTGATATCTTCATAAAAAATGCAAAAGACTTGACAACAAGATTACAAGAAAACCAACATATGAAAAAGAAAAGCTTTGCCACTAGGTTTCAATGTGATTAATGTTTACTTTAGCTCAAGATCAGTGATCAGTCAGGTTTTTACATGATTGAGATTTGAATACAATTTGAGACAAACACAAATATGGCAAACATGTCTATCAGAGTGACTCACTGGCTCATATCAGTACATTATTCATGAACCTGAGATGACAATCCATTTATTTATACGAAAGGAAAAAGGATTGGGTTGGACATACCATTACATTTAATACAAACAAAGTGCAATGTCGGATAAAAACCGTCACATCTAAAAGTTGCAAAACTCTGAAGCATTGGTTAGGACTGATTGACTGAGTTTAGTTTTACGCCCGCTTTTAGCAATATTCCAGCAATATCAGGGGACACCAGAAATGGGCTTAACACATTGTGCCCATGTGGGGAATCGAACCCGGCCTTCTCGGCGTGACGAGCCAACGCTTTAACCACTAGGCTACCCAACCGCCCCATTGGTTAGGAAACTATTACACATATTCAAATAAATTAATAACAATCCTTCTTTTCTTTCTTACACTTCCATGTTTTGAACTTCTTGCATGACCAAATACATCAGTATGAGCGACAAGTCAATTATTGGAACTTCAAGAGAAAATTTATGCATGAGCAAGTTTGTGAGTAAAGTCTTTCTTTTTTTATTCCACATCTCAATAGTTCATGTCAAACAGTCAGAATGAGGATTTCTGAAATCCTCTCAAATCAGTCGTCGTAACTCATTTCAGCTTTATCTATGCTACTGGTGCTGATAACATGCAATAGCTGAAATTAGCAAAATGTAACTTCTAATTCACACAAGTACATCTGCAAACTTGAAAAACAATTTGTAAATGTTTTTCTCATTTTGTAGAGGTTGCATATTTAGTGGGCCTTCACTGAGTTAATGGGGTTTAACTGTACGCACCTTTTCATCCTCCAACTGCTGTTTTTCCCTTTCCTCTTCAAGCCTCTGAACATAAAATTACAAAGAACAATGTTGGATATGAATAAACAAAACTAATGATAAGTACCATGGTGGCATTCAGTTAGGCAATGTGGTACTCTTTATCACTCCAAGAGTTAATTAACAGAACTTCAATGTTTTCTGTGTGTGTTAGTTTAATGACCAAGTATCATGATTTGGAAGGATTGGGGATTTAAACTCAATATCACACATTTCTGCCACTCCTACCACATTGTAATGAATGGAATTAGAAAAGAAAATTATTTCACCTTTCTTTCTTCTTCTTCCTTGAGCTTCCTCTCTTCTTCCTCAACCCTCCTCTGTTCAGCTAGCTGTTTTTCCTCCTCTTCTTTCCTCTTTTTTTCTTCTTCATTCTTCTTCTTTTCTTCTTCCTTTTTCTTTTTCTCCTCTTCTTCTTTCTCTTTCTGAGCCTTTCTGTCCTGTTCAATCTTGGCTGGAGTTTTGACATCCTTTGGTTTACTTACATTGTTTGGTGTACTGAAGCAAAACACTTACAATTTACCACAACCACACATCTTTGAGGCTCTCAACACAATTTAAGTGGTGGGACATTCTATTTCTTACAAAACATAAAGTTGAATTTAAATGCTTCATTTTAAATGAACAGATGATTAATCATGGCATCAAGTACCTTGTTTTTTTATCTAGTTTATCTGGTTTTCCCACAAAGTTGCTGCCTTTTCTTGAATCTTGCCTTCGGTCACCCCGATCTGGTGGTGGTCTGCCTTGGCCAGAACTTCTCCGATCATAGTAGTCATCATATCTACAGTCACAATGGACATCAATTTCTTGAAATTCCAGTTATGTTCACAATCATTGTCAAATCCACTAAGAAACTTATATTTCTTCTTTCAGTTTAAGATATATTTACTGTAATCATATGTAATCTCAAGCATGAAATAGTTGAATTGCATTCAATAAAGTTATCAGACATACTGGTACATGTTTTTATCATCTAATGGAGGGTGTTATCGGTGCAATATAGCAATCTGATAAACTTGGTATCCAAATCTGATAACTATGCAAATTACGTCAATCCACGAACAACTTTCTGCAGTAACTGACTTTGGAAAACACGAAACCGAATACTTCGTTCAAATGGAAGGTACGGATTATGAACCAAGGATTTGGATCTATCGATCACAATACAGACTAGGAATCGATTCCGTCAGGTATCAGAAACTGACATTGATGAGGTGATTACCCGCAATGAAAATAGAAACACTGCCAAGAAAACCCTGCCCAATTTTGTTGTTCTTTTTAGACAGAAAGATCTTATTTTAAGCATGAGCTATGTTTGCACTGTATTAGCGACTAGTCGCAACCATATGCCGCAGTCATGAACAACCTTCACCTTGGTGTACCGCTAAGTATTCTTACGCGAATGATCGATTCTCTTCATATAAATTCATGTACGATTTGCTTCTTTTTTCAGAGTAATTTTAGAATGACATTATATGATAAAGAGATTATTAACCTTGTGTGTTTCCGTATCATTAATATCATATATTAGGAATAAAATTATGCATTAGGCTCACCAAAAGCTCACATAATACAATTTTTATTCCTAATATATGATATTAATGATACGGAAAAACACAAGGTTAATAATCTCTATATATCATACACATTAAAAACATTCACCTGTCTCGACTATCTCTGTAGTCCCCAGGTCCATCACCTGCACCCTTTCTCACAGATTTGTGGGGAGGAGGATCCTTCCTTCGATCACCATTTCCCATCCTCCCTCTATCTTTTCCTCCATCTCTGCTGCTAGTTTTGGATGGATAATCATCTTGTCTCCTGTCACTCACATCCTTCCCTGCATCTTTACTGTCTCGACCAGCCTTAGTGCCAATGTCTTCTCGTTTACCATCTTTCCCACCATCTTTCCCACCCCCATTACTTTTGGTGCTTTTTAATCCTTCATCTTGTTTGCCTTCATTTGAATCCATCTTTCTGTGTGTTAGGTTATCCTTTTTTCCACCTCATGTTCTGTTTTATCATTTTGCTCCAAACCTCACAAGCAGGGTTTGGTACAAAGGCCAGGATACTGAAACTGATAAGATTACAAATAAAACTAAATACACAATAATGTTTAATCCTTAAACTTATGTGTGAGTCCGTTTCTGCTCTGCAAAGGAGTAATCCCTGAATCATTCTCTTGTAATTTTGAACAAACAAATTCATTAGTTCAGTTGAGGACACATTACAACAGTATACAGGTGCAGTGCCTAGATCAATCATATTCCAGTATTATGTACATGCATATATATGCATACATATAGCAGTGTGTAATAACCTCTGCCAAGGAGACAGGATTGAAGCTTGTGTTGCCCAAAGACTTAATTTGATATAGATGAACAACAAAATGAACAAGACATGACACAGTTTACTATTTATGTGCATGTAAATTAAACAACAATAAATACACTTCTTAAGATTTTGTCAGGTTACAATGTTTCAAGATGGATAGTCATTGCAAGTGATTTATCTTGGATTCCAAACCAAGTGACTTTGGCAGACAAATTCAGAAATTGGAGAAAAATCAGATTAGTTAAATATTTAATTTCTTTCAATGTTATTTTCATAAATTCTGAGCAATTGGGAAATTTGCAATTTAAGTTGGAAATTATCCGTTATTTGTTTCAAACTTAGAAATTCAAAAGGGCTCACTGAAACGTGCCTACAGTCTCAAAACTATCCCTGTTCACTTGAAAAGGCTGACTAAAATGAAGAACCCTTCGAACATATCTTTTCTCATCCAGATTGAATATTGCTGTCCGTGACATCCAACAAAGCTCACCTTACAGATTTTCACTGGTTTCAGGCACCATGTAAGCTTAGATGTCAGAACCCACGTTTATAATGTTTAAAAATGGAAGGTTGAGTCCAAAGTAAATTAAAGCGTTTCAATAAAGGCAAGATGTTTTATGGATAACAAGTCATCCATAAGTATCAACCAAAGTATCTTGCCTTCACTGTTACCAACTTCAGAATGTACAAAATGTAACAAAATACCAACCAAACAGTTAATTAAATACTTAGATAAAACAAATATTGACATAGAATATATCTCTAACTCACTACCTGTCAGAGAACAAATTAAACCTACATTTGGAGTTTACGAATATATTTCAAACATGGTGACTTGTAAATCATTACAACCGACTGACCAACTGAATCAATGTTTTTCATCATCTGACAATGAAAAAATCACATGTCATGGTGTTGTTGCTTGATGTTATTTAATCTAACGCCACTACACAAATCTGACAAGAAAGATTTAATAGTATTCTTTGAATAAACAGAAAAACGTTCCAAACGTATAAACTGTTGATCATAGGCGTTATCGTGGAGTCGTGTAAAACGTAAACAACATAGGAAGTGAAGTGATACTAAACGTAACACAGAGCTTACAAATTAGCGTTAAATTCAGCATGGTATTCAAAAGTGGCAATTTATACGTACTGCTCATTTGAACAAGAATATCACATCTTACTAACGACTGTCACGGTCTTTAAAAACACGAATTTACTTGTGTTTACGATTGCCGAATATGGCGTCTGCAACGTTCCCTCTCTCGGATATTTCCGGATTATTCCGTTCAAGAGCAACATAGTATATGTCTCACAGCTAATCGTATTATATTCACACATGGAGGCGTTACGTGCTCGCATGCATGCGCGCGTGCACATGTGCGTGTATATGTTTGTGCTTATAATTCTGTTTGACCTTTTTAACTATTGTATGTCTCGCAATACAAACGTTATAATATAAATAAAGCTTAAATAACATTTTAAATTATGAAACGAGGGTATAAATGTAGGTGAACTCTGAAAAGGAAATCGTGTTCAAATTGGCACTCAAAATGATATATTCATGGCACAGTGATCTGGTCCATTGTAACCCCTCCTGTTCAAACCAATGTCCATATTTACATGTATACCCTCTGTTTTAGCAATTTTAAAGTAACATGTCTTCTGAAAGGAAATGTCGAGTTGGAACTTTTCTTTGATTGCTTTCCATGGGCGTAACAAAGATACACTTTACAAACGCCAAACCACGAGATGAGATTCGAACGACGGACTTTATGGTCAGCAATCAGAACTTTGTAGTCCTGACTTCTGACTGACGGCTTAATATCAGTGAGATGGCAAACCTAGAAACACAAATCGGGGCAGTCTTATACACACAATGTCTTTCTTTCACTTTTCGAAAATGTATATTAAAATATTTGGCCCGCAACTGGGCAATTTAATTGAATCAATACTTCGAAAGTCTTTACGAATGGAACTCACTTATAGTTTGTTGTAGTGCTACTAGTACACGGTACAACTACTTCTTTAGTTTCGAACTTGTACCATAATAACAACTGCTTCGAATATATTATGTCCTAAGGGACATATTTTTAATAATGAGAGGTTGTTTGTATTATCCCGGGATAAACTATCCTGCAGAAGGGCGTTGTGACAAAATATATTTACACCTTGAATGAAATGGATACCATTGAAAACGGACCTACGCCAAAAAAGACCAATCCGTTTGGACAAAACGGGCAACTGTTTGTCAAAAAGGGTCCGAGTTGCTGCAAAAAATCATGACAGATCAAACGAAAACTGGTTTCGTATCTATATACTCGTGAACATTCTCTGACACAATCATTTACATTGCTGTTGTCAGTGTCCCAACTGCCCTTGTCTCAGTGGATCTACTTCCCCTTGACCACAAGTACAAAGCGAGGTCTGGATGGCCCGCGGACTCTGAACATCTGCCAAAATAGCTGCATTATGGCGAGATCCCCCTCCCATGAGCCAAGGTTTAACCTTGACTTACAAAAGGTCCCTTGAAGGTGATATAAGGGTCCTGTAAAGTACGGAGGTGGTGTTGTGTACTGTATGTTTAGAGAATGACTTGAGAGAGTGGAATGTATCACTGATCGTGTGGACAGTGGCCATTGTAGTGAAATAACACACCCATAACTACTCTTGGCGCGATGTAGATACACTAACGCTTTAGCCACTTAGCTACCCCAACGCCCTAACCCCCTCCAGGCGAGACATTAGATCTTCGTTACGGCAATATCCTTGACGCTTACAAATCCTACGTAAAACCGCCTATCGGAACATCAGATCATAACGCTATCCATCTTGTGCCAACCTACAAACAGAAGCTCAAGTCGGAAAAACCTGTTATCAAGCAAGTGAAATCATGGACCACTGAGACACTGGATCAGCTGAGAGGGTGTTTTGAGTGTACTAATTGGGATATTTTTGAAGGAGCACGTAATACTCTGGACGATCTAACCAACACAGTCACAGACACAGTTTTGTGTTGATAATATTATTCCTCTTAGGACAATCAAAGTTTACCGTAATAATACACCTTGGGTCACAAAGGAGTTTAAATCTTTATTGAATGAAAAGAAACGGGCATTATGTTCAGGTAATATTCACAAAGTTAAATAAATACAAAGGGATATTTTACGTCAAACAGCAAAATGTAAAGAAGAATATAAAGTTAAAATTGAAAAAAATGTTTACCACGAACGATTTGAAATAGGCTGGGCAAGGATTTGAGTCTGTAATTGGGATTAACAAAAAAAACCAGCAGTGTATTGATGTTCAAGATAATCTTGTTTTTGCTAATGAATTGAATTCGTTTTATGCCAGATTTGACTATCATGATTTTACCAACGATATTAATAAGATGTATTCATCTTTACCTTCATCTGATGACTTAGTAATTTCAAGAAGTGATGTTCTGTTGTCATTTAAAGAACTCAAAGTAGGCAAATCTTGCGGCCCTGATAACTTACCTGGTATTGTTTGGAAAGAATGTGGAGAGCAACTATATGTCATATGTCGGAAGATGTGTCGATGGTCAGTTAGTTCAGCTGTTGCTTTGACATCCATAGCGATGAAGTGTTTAGAACGGGTTATCAAAACATTGTTGCTTGCTAATGTAAGTTATTTGCTAGATCCTTTTACAGTTTGCATATAGACCAGGGCGTGGGACGGAGGACCCAACTTTAACCCTCCTGCAAAATATTTACTCTCATCTAGAGACTTGTAACAACTATGTAAGAATCCTCTTTGTTGGTTCTTCTTCCGCCTTCAATACCATCCAACCACACCTTTTGATGAGTAAACTGTTTAATCTAGGCGTTAATAGCAACATTATCAAATGGGTTAAAGAGTTCATGGTACATAGAACTCACTCTGTCAATGTCAATGACTATCAATCTTCTTTTCTCTCAACCTCTACTGGAGCTCCACAGGGCTGTGTTCTTTCACCCTTACTCTTCATTTTTGTATACCAATGACTGTTACTTGTCATTAAATGACGTATTTACTGTGAAATTCGCAGATGACGCCGCTGTTACTGGCCTAATTTCTGATTCTGAACATAATTATCGTCAAGGCATTGACAAATTTCTATCAAGGTGTAAAGACAATTTTCTTTTTCTGAATGTAAAGAAAACCAAGGAAATGGTGGTTGATTTTCGCAGAAATAAGGAACCTCTACATCCTCTTATAATTGATAATGCAGAAATTGAAAGAGTGGACCATTACAAATATCTCGGTGTCATTTTAGATTCAAAACTTTCGTTTCGTTTTCAAAACACATCCATCACATTCACAAAAAAGGCCAACAGCGACTTTATTTTCTTCACCGCTGAAGAAACTTTTCTATTGACAAAACCATAATGACCGTTTTTTATCAAACCTTTATTCAAAGTGTGGTGACCTACAATTTTTTCTATGTTGGTATGGTGGTCTGTCTGCAAAACAAAATTTTAAAAATTGTTAATACTGACAACAAAATTATGGAGTGTCTTTCGAGTCTATTCCCGTTATCTATGAGCGCCAGATTGTCAAAAAGGCAACTAAAATTAGAATTGATAGTTCACATTTTATCTCACCATTTTGAACTACTTCCATCTGGACGCCGCTTTCGATTACCTTCCTTTAAAACAAACAGATCTCGACAGTACTTCATACCATCCAGTATTCGTGTTATTAATGCAACAAATGTTTTTGAATAGTCATCATGCATGCGATAACTACTAACGCAGCCTTTTTGTATGGAATCATCAGCATTCATTTTGTGCATGTAATCATTGTGTGTATATTTATTGTGAATTTTGTATACATTCATTTTGAGGTAGTTTTTTTTATACAAAAAGAATTTCATCCGGGATAATAAAGTTATATCTCATCTTATCTTATCCAATCACAACAATCATTATTTTAGATCTGTGTGACAACTGTCTAGATTGGTGAAGTAGCCATAGTGACTTTACTTTCTGACATTGTTGATTTTTCACGCTTCTTTGTATTCGTCTCAGGTTGCAAGTAAAATGTTTCCAAATTTCAATTTCAGTTTTATCCCTTTTCTTTTAATAAGGGCAAAATATGTTACAGTTACCAGTTTCTAAATGAATACGCGGAATTTGGTTTCAAAGCGCACACAGAGACACACACATGGGCTTTAATCAAACACTACCCACTTTTTTACACTACATGTAAATGTATCATAAAGGTATCGCTTTGATATTTGTACACACTTCCGCTTTGATAAATATTGGCCCGTTTTGGGAACAGAAAAATGGGCCGTTGAGAACCACGTCCACTGACCGGTTTTGGTGCTGTTCTGTTTTGAGTGATATACAACGAAATAAGTTCCTTCTCGATTCAGAAAAAAATATCAACGACAGTCATATATGCCATGTATGCTTTACACAAACCGAAATGAGGTTATGCAATCATTTGTGAAAAACGTTATCTTGATATCATTTGACAAATATTATATTATCCATATACATATTTCGTTTCAGGTATTCCAATATTGAAATATAACCCTTTCTACGAAACTAACAACACGCATAACTTTACTTGTGCTGGCGGGAGTCCCAAACATAGGAAATCTCAGTAACGAAAAACGAAACAACAACATAATTAATACGTGGACAAGAGAAAGAAATACCCTAGTGATTAGTTGGTCTAACGGATTTCTTGATTTCATCGTATGCAGACTATCATTTGCAAGTTTGAAAAGACCTTTTCAGTCTGTCACAGAACCTGAAGGTTTGCTTCGCACCTTGCTTTATTGAAAGTCATAGGCGCCCGACTCTGATATATTTATAAGTATGACCTATATGTACATATAGGTCATACTTATAAATATATCAGAGTCGGGCGCCTATGTTGAAAGTGTATAGATACTCGATCTCCATTGTTTCTGAAACGAGAAGGTAAACAGAAGTGTTTGTGTTTATATTCTAATTAATCTGTTTATGTGAAACTTTCAGTTTGCAATGCTTTCCTTAAAAAAAGTCACTGTTTCCTTTGTAAGACTCACGCCACAAAACAGAAGTACCAAGATCAGGAATTATGGCAGGTAAGTGAAACCATTCCATACTGAACTTGAAGACCTCTAGTCCAAACTTGTCTCAGGTTCATTTTCTGTACTTTTAATGTTATTATGTAAACAAATGCCAGCTGATTACCAAAAAATGTTACTAGAGGGTGTATCTAGACCAGCTCAGACAGGCTGATATCCCAACCCACCTGTGCAACATTCATAGTGAGAATTCCCAATGGGAATTTAACAAGATAACATTTAGGTTTGATATTTAGATTAAGTTTTATTCAAAGCAGCATTTAATTTCATTTATGAAAGTAATCATGCTAAAGTATGGCCAAGATAACTTTGAATGGCCTATATAGGTTATGACTGAGCTTTGCCCTTTACTTGTTTTTGTAGATGATTGTGACTTGGATGAGCTGGTGGCGTTTCTTGATGAGGATTCCAATGAGGCTTTTGGCAGTGGTGAAGAGCCTGGGGAAGGTATGACGAAGGGAAGCAGCAAGACTGTTGTGACAGAGGAGATGGATGCTGATGCCGAGATTCCAACTCTTGAAAAAGATTTGTGTGAAGCAGTAGTTCCCAGCGCTGCTCCTGCTACTGACAGTAGTAAGTTGTTGTGGTTGTCATGATGATGTGGATGTGTTGTGGCTGATTCTTAAATGTTATATATAGTATGACATCAAAGTTGAAACATTTCTTCAGATTTACTCCAGTGGAAATTTCCCAGGCATCATACTGAAGTGTAGACATTAGTCACTGTTAGGGAGAATCTCACCAAGACAGGATGTAGATTTTTTGTCAGCATGCAGTGTTTCCGTTCTCCTGAAAATCGCTGGAAAAATTTGTTAGGGACCGGTGAATTGAAAGCCAGCCGGACACTGTGTCCGGTAAATAATCATGTATTAAAATAAAAAAAATCATGGGTAAGCGAAATGACAGTCTTGGCTGTGCTTTCATGGTCACAAAAATTGTTGTGTTTTGGAAATACCCAGGCAAAAAATAACTTTAAAATGAGTACTTACAGTATGGTAATAGGATATGATCGGCAAATTTCATTCATGACCGGTAAAATTTTAGGTCGCCAGACACAGTGTCCGATAAATAATTAAATCAGTGGAAACACTGAGCATGTATGTGAATGTTTTCTACATGGTCTAGGTCTCTCTTCACCATAGTCCTGTAATATTGATGACCATGATCCATCAGTGTCTAGCTGTAATATTATAGACTACAGGCCATTGAGATGCAGCTGTAATGTAACTTGCATCGAGAAAAAAACTAATATAATTGACAACAGGTGTTGGGATATAGCTGGAAAATGGAATATTACTGAAAACAGGTCACTGTATTGACCCTCTGTGTAATTTTATAGATGTTTGAGTTGCCGTTGTCTGTTTTCTTCAGATCAGACGGAAAAGGATGATTGTGATCCCGAGTCTATTGCTGCATTTCTTGGAGAATCTGATGACAGTGATGAGGAATTTACTCTGGACTCAAAAGACATTGCCAGTATGTGATATATTAGCAGCGTTTATGTTAATATGCTTTCTCCGTACACACCATGCAATGATAACATTACCAATTCACTAACAACAAACATCACAATAATATTGGCCCGGTCGCAGTGTCGACACACGGCAGTTTATTACAAATATTGCAAACAGTGTGACATCAACACACCAACCTTCAAAATACACTTCCCTCCTTCAACATTACATCATCAGGTGTGGAACCGCTGCCCGACACGTAAACAGAGATCAAAAACTGCATTCAAGAGAAAATTACTCTGGACCGTGTTCTCCCGGCGAAGTCAGCGGCGCACCTTTCTGGGGAGTTTACAGCTTAACCTTTGGCGATACTGAGCATGCCATAAATACAAATTATGATGTATACTGTACAACATAGCATTAATATGAGGGAAACAATCCTCGCCCAAACAGACCATACGTTCAAAGTGAACTTCATTATTATCAAGGCTCGCCAGCCTAGAACACAGATAATACACCTCTCATATACATGCAAATCAAGTATCTGCTTAGCTGCATTACAATACTTATATTACTTAATTATCATAACTCAACAAAGAGTAAGCAAACACATTAAATTCACACTATAAAGCATTACCATAAAGCAAAGCTTCACTAGTGAATTCGACCATACCAAAACAGGTAAATCAACTGTATGCTGAGCTGCATTACAAAACATATTTACAGATTCTCTCGGCTCAACAGCCAAACAGCCAAAAAAATATATATATATGTACACAATAAGCGATTATAAAGACTTCCGTCAGCCTACGCTTCTGAACGAAGAAACTTTAATGCATGATTAGGCTCACTCGCCAACACGCACCATACCATACACAGGTCGACCGACAAAGGAACATCCACTCACACGAGCATCATCGTCCAGATTACAATCTGAAAATAGAAATCATATTAATATTTTTGCAACACTCCAAAGAAACAAACACTGTAATATGAACACTGCCGTGGTAATTAGCGAGAGAGAAGACCTACTGTCATACACCCTATATATACCCTAGTACAGTTTAGAAGACACATGTCTCTTGCTCCTTCAGTACTAATGTTTGGTGATATGTATGATACCACTGAAAATAAGAAAGGTCTATTCGTTGAGATGCTGCCTCGGAGACATTTTTAAGCCTGTGCTTAACATGCTTAGCTTTATCACATTAGTGACTGTCTTTTGTGTAAACATGTATCCCATACAGTTCATGCATGATGTGAAATTGCATTGAGATTAGGCATCCATGATGTAATACCACAGTATTGTAAATAGGGATGAGTATTGAGGGGGAACAAATATTACATCGATGCAACATACTCTTGCAACATACTATTGCAATAGCGATTGTCTCTGCAACATACTTTGCAATAGCGATTGTCTATAATTAACCATACTAATGCGATTGTCTATCTCTGCAACATACTATTGCGATAGTGATTGTCTGTTGCGACCAACTATTGCAATAGCGATAGTCTCTGCAACATACTATTGCGATAGTGATTGTCTTATTGTCTGTTATAGCGACTAACTATTGCGATACCATTGCGATAGTCTATGCAACATACTATTCGCGATAGCGATTGTCTATTGCGACCAACTATTGCAATAGCGATTAGTCTCTGCAACATACTATTGCGATAGTGATTGTCTGTTGCGACCAACTATTGCGATAGCGATAGTCTATGCAACATACTATTGCGATAGCGATTGTCTATTGCCAACTATTGCGACCAACTATTGCGATAGCGATAGTCTATGCAACATACTATTGCGATAGTGATTGTCTGTTAACCATTATTCGCGATAGCGATAGTCTCTGCAACATACTATTGCGATAGCGATAGTCTCTGCAACATACTCTTGCGATAGCGATTGTCTGTTGCGACCAACTATTGCGATAGCGATAGTCTATGCAACATACTATTGCGATAGCGATTGTCTATTGCCACCAACTATTGCGATAGCGATAGTCTCTGCAACATACTATTGCGATAGCGATTGTCTATTGCGACCATCTATTGCAATTGTTTGTTCTCTCCTTGGATTGTCTCATCAGAAGTCAACTTGGCTTCACACTTTGTACCCATGTGGAGAAAATCGAACCCTTGTCTAAAGCATTATGAGGGACCACTTTATCCACTAGGCTACCCCATTAACCCCAATAACTGATGATAAAATCCAAACTGATTCCCAACTAAACAGGCATTTCCCAAGGGAAGAGGGCTTACTTTTCAATAATGCCCACGGGTCATGTTATATCCAACTTATAAACCGACTGAAGATATGCTTTAGATATAATTTCAAACTTTGGTATTTACTGTTGAAATCAACTGGGATGAGATTGGCAGCCGACGCCTCCCAATGCACGTGCTCCGCAGACGCTACCTGTGCCCTGCACGTGCACTGCCTGCACTACCCGTCTTGTGAGGAACACAGGGTTCATGCTGACAAACAATCTTATTCTTCACAGTGATCCCTCGTAGCCTAGTGGATAAACCACCAAGCTAGTAAGCGAAGGGTTACAGGTTCGAAACCGTGTGTTCGGCACTACATGTTGGAAATTGTCAATATTGTCATATTTAAAGAACGCATCCAGTGATGGCAAGACAAAGTCGTATCAATCTTCAAAACAAGTAATAATTTAAAGACAAGGGCTATTCCACAGAAAATCCCCAGGCAGAGGGACGTTATTAAGATAATGCCAGGGCCACAGGGATGTTATTAAGATAATTGCCCGGGACAGAGGGACATTATTTAGATAATTGCCCGAGGAAGCGAGATTTTATCAGATTTGAGGGATATTATGAGAAAAAGAACAATAGAGTGACTTCACTGTCGGTTTATAAGTTGATGTTTTACATGTATTACTAATAGATAATGACTTTTGTTTTTGCCACTTTGTTGTAGAACCAGTGAAGCAGCCTGATGTCATTGCCCCGACTGATCCCAACACAGCAGCTCTGCAGGGTAGGTATAGCAACAGTCTTGTGTAGACACACCACCACCTGGTGGCCAGGATATCACAACTTAATAACTATGGCTATTTATAAAGCGCATGTTTCCACGCACTTGTGCATGCTCAAGGCGCTAACACAGTCCTAATATTAGACCAGATGCATCTGTCAGCGTTCTCCCACTATTGACCCTTGTTTTTATCTTTTGAACTGGTTGTCAAAAAATTATCATAATGTTTATCGGGGAACCGTCTCTACTCTTTATTACATGTTCTAAAGGTAATAATATAACCAGTCAGTCTGTTAACTGTCAATAATTACCATTCTGCTATGAGTGTCCAATATACACTGTTGCTTGTTACTACCATGGTGCCGTTACTGCCGTCTCCTTCACCTGTCACTTCTGTGATGCTTTGTTACCATTTCAGCCCGTGTACTTGTACTTTGCCTGATTTTACCATGGTGCTTCATCTTTTACCTCTGTGGTGCTTTGTCTAAATTATTAATAAATTAATATATATGCATATTCCACTGTATTCTGTTTATTGTAGCGGAGCTTGCAGCCATGCAGAAACGTGATGATGGAACTCAGCAGCAGCTGCTGTCTCAGTCCTCAGCACAGACACCATCGACAACGAAGACATCATCGACAACTCACAAACCACCCACACCACAGACTCGGCTCACAGATGGTGTGTTCCACTCCTGTAGATGTACTCATACTCTTCTAATTAGGCTCCACCTTTAGTAGATACAAATACAACCATGTAATACACTGATGTCCATTTGGCGATACTGGAATATTTTTTATTTATTATACGGCCCCCAATACGTGGAGTTACCTCCCTGCTACACATGCGCCAGCCAACCAGGTAAGCACCCAGGCCCGCCATATCGCAATTCCTTCTGCTTTCCGCGATTGTGTACACACGTGCTTGATTGAGCTGACCAACGTAGATGCGTACTACGATAATGTCTGAGACTTCAACTACTGTATGTATGGTCTTTATTCATTCTTTAGAACACTCTTTTGACTTTGCAGTCGGTTATTTCTCATTTATGTGACCATTGTATTAAAATTTAAGCTAGCTTTCCATTGGTTTACGTACGTGTTACTATTCCACGATGGGAAGTTGGTGGGTCACGTGGTTGAAATATTGCTTTACTCTACAATTATTTCATGTCACATCGCATACACGTATTTTCAATGTTTATACATGTATTTAGCTGTTGTTTTGGCCGTTAGCTACAGGCGTTTATGGTGTAGGTTGCCTGTGGGCTACACATCCCGCCTGCCGATAAGCATTCCCCTGATGTGTGCGAACTTTGCCTTGGTTTCTCCCCCCGTGCCCAGATACGGCGGGCTGCCGATTTCCTCTTCTACAGAGAATTGAGGGAGGCAGGAGGGGATCCAACTGAGGAGACACCCCCATCCAAAGCAAAAAAGGCTAAAAGGCCTTCTAAATCTAAGGGTTCTAAAGAATCTGTACCACTTGCTATGTCTTTCATACAGCAATTGTTCGAACAGCATATGGACTCAGTGAAGTCCTTCATTCATGAGTCGCTTGGAGGACTCCGGCGGGAGTTCCTTGCTGGCTCTGGACGGGGGGCGGAGAGTTCAGGGGTTGGATCGCCGGGCTCGGCTCGATCCATAGGCCTCGAGGCTTCTGTTGATCCGCTGCCATTGGCTACGGCTCTGGAAGCCTCGGCCGGCCCGGAGAGGGAGGGTTCGCAACCAGTCCCTCTCTTGGTACTTGCACAGGGGCAGTTGAGTATTCTTGGTGTTCCGGTCCCTGCACACCCTATCCCCTTGAGAGTGGAGGCTCCAGTCTGGGCAGCCTCCTGCGACTGGGGACCGGGGTCCTTGCATGCGGTCGGTGGCCGGACCGGAGAGCGTCTCAGGCTCTTCCCCTTGTCGATGTGGCTCGGCATTCCACCAGGTTGGGGTTTGGGTCTTCTCTTCGAGAGGATCCGGATTCTGGCTTGGGCTCGGGGGCCAAGTCCATGGAGGTTGAGGAGTAGTCCGGCTTTTAAGCTTCTCGTCAGCTTTACGAGAGGTACGTCAGCGCATTGCGCTACTGTTACCCCAAGCTGCAGTGCCGACTAGCTGCCAGGACTCGTCTGAGTTCCGCCTGCCGGGTGAGGCGTTTGCTCCCAGGCAGCCCTCTCAGACGCAGCTTCGCATGTTGCCCTCCCTGGTTCAGGATGTTGTGGACCCGTTACTAGCTGGCTTTAGACTCCGGTTCGATTTGCCCGAACTTTAAAAGTGGAATCGGCTGGGTGATGAGTCCCTCTTCCTCGTTCCAGTGGTGGACGAATGCGTGTTTACCTCGGTCGCCCTCGAGGGGAGGCTCGGCTTCCTCGGGTGCAGCTCCAGCTGCCAAACAGGCAGTTGGTTCCACTGTTTGCCCAGTCAGACGCCCCTCTGGGGCAGGCATACCATACCTACGAGGAGGTTTACAGGAATGCCATGCAACAGATTCGGGTTGTGGTCCAAGGGGCGTACCTCTCCTCGATTCAGAGGTCGGCCCTAGAAATGGAGGCGGGCACGGGTGACGTTTCACCTAATGTTGTCCTCCTGCGTCAACTAACTGCCCACCTGACCAGGGACTCTTTACGGTGATGTGCACAGTCATAGGGGTGCGCAAGCTGTGTCCACCTCACGCTACTCGGTGGCAACCCAGCAGACGTTGCTGGCCCTTCCGTATAGGCTGGGTGCGATGTTGTTTCCGGAGGCACAGCAGGTCATTTTGCTCTCAGGCGTACCAGCCTACCTTGGGATTTGTCAATCGTGCTAGATTGGCTGTCCGGTCCTACTTTCTCACGTCTATCGTCTATTTCCATTCAGCTGTTGACCTGGAAGGCCGTTTTTCTGGTGGCGGTGACATCTGGGAAAAGGGTTGGTGATTTACATGCATTCAGTATTCGCCTCCCCGATAGTTACTGTCCGAAGATCGATACACGCTTTCCATGTGACAGCCCCTCAAGGTCTATATCAAACGAACACAAGGGATCCGTACGGGTACCCATCTGTTCTGCTGTTACGGTGGCGGGAATGCTGGGGCTCCTGCCAGCAAACAGACACTTTCTCGCTGGCTTGCATCGGTTATTTGTGCTGCGTATCAGGCTAAGGGCAAGCCTCCCCCTGAGGGGTTGAAGGCTCACTCAGTCAGAGCACTTGCCACTTCAAAAGCGTTTGCAGCGGCACTGCCCATCGAAGAGATTTGCTCTGTCGCTATTTGGAGCCGGCCTAGCACTTTCATACTGCACTATCAGCTCGATACACACTCCCGTGATCGAGCATGCTTTGGCCGTTCTGTTCTCTCTGGTGGACAGTGTCCTGCCACCCTGGCCGAGTGAGTCTTGGTTATTTGGTTTCTAGAGACGCTGTGTTCAATTGTTGTTTCATTGATATATCCGCTGTTGATTCTTGCCAACTTTCAATCGCCGCTCGGTTGAGATTTTCGGTTGTGAGTTGTGGGTTCCCCCTTACGGTGCTCTCCATAGAGTTTTCACTCAGTGGGCGGGGTTTGTTTACACTCTATATGATGTGTTGTCATGCTTAACTTGATTGAGGTCAGTCCTCGGTAGGATTTCTCCCTGTCGGATCACGACCCATAATGCCTCTCGCAGAAGCTTTGGGGACACGTGACAGGTGAGTGTTATGGCATTAGTAACTTTTTGTAATTACGAGATCGCTATTTCTTTGTACTGTGACAGAATTCCCTCCTCCCTAGCCTCCGGTCTTTGGGAGTCTGTGTTAATGCATATATGTACCCCAAGGACGATCTCTATGAAAAATAATTAGCTAAACCTGTAGAGGTTTCAAATTCTTTGAAGAGAGTCGTCTTGGGGTGTAGGGCCCCATCTCCCCGCTACTCTGTTCACTTATTTATTCAGCAGAAGGAATGATGATACAGGCCTAGGTGCTTACCTGGTTGGCTGAGCATGTGTAGCAGGGAGGTAACTCCATGTGGTGGGGGCCGTATAATAGATAAAATAGATTTTTATTTATTGTACAATATTTTTATTAAAACATTAAGAGTATGAGTCCCAGGGACCCTCACATACAGGAGTCCATGTAAATCCCTGCTGTTTGAAGTAATTTTGTTTCTTTAGGTTTTCTTGGCCATATGTTACATGATATTCATGGCACTACCACTACCATTACCTTTGTGTTGATGTATAGCAGATCTGAAGGCACTGTAGTAGGTGGACAATCGGACTGAATACAGATAGCATTGAGCTGGGACATAGGGTATATTCCCAAAAAGGGTACGATGACAGCGATAATGTTATGTGGTTCACTGCACTAAAGTCTACTCTTGTATTCAGAATCTGAAGATGCGAACCCATTCTTCCCTACCAGCACGTCCCAGAAAGAGAAGAAAAGTTCTAAGACTCCTGGTCGCTCACCAGGCCAGCGGCAGGTGGGGAGTAATAGACTGACTCCCAAACAGTCTGCCGCCAAGCCCTCCTGTATAGAGCAGGCTGATAGACAGGCCATGAAGAAAGATTTGTTTGGTGAAAGTGACAGCGAGGGGGAAGATATGGATGGTGAGTTTCATAAACTGTTTCTATAAACTTGTCACATCACATTTATGCAAAAGTTTGGTTTGTTTTGTTTGTTGGTTGGTTAATGCCGCACTCCGCAACATACCAGCTGTATGGAGTGGGCAAGTCTGACCACCTGATCCCGTTAATGCACTCCGCAACATACCAGCTGTATAGAGTCGGCAAGTCTGACCACCTGATCCGTTAACCAGTCTGTGAGGAAGCAAGTATGACCCCTGATGTTAATGCAGCACTCCGGCAAGTCTGACCATGCCTGATCCCGTTAATGCCGCACGCCTGTATGGCTGTGGGCAGAGTCCTGACCACGACCCTGGATCCAACATACCAGCTGTATAGAGTCGGCAAGTCTGACCACCTGATTCCGTTAATGCCGCACTCCGCAACATACCAGCTGTATGGAGTCTGACCACCTGCAAGTCTGACCACGCCTCTTACAACTACCAGATCCCGAGTCGGCACGTCATGACCACCTGATCCCGTTAATGCGCTACTCTACAACGCCGCAACATACCAGCTGTATGGAGTCGGCAAGTCTGACCACCTGATCCGTTAATGCGCACGCCGCGCCTCTTACAACATACCAGCTGTATAGAGTCGGCAAGTCTGACCATACCTGATCCCGTATAATGCCGCGACCTCTCGTTAATGCGCCTCAACATACCAGCTATATGGAGTCGGCAAGTCTGACCACCTGATCCGTTAATGCGCCCGCCGCAACATACCAGCGCCTCTTGCAACATACCAGCTGTATGAAGGCAAGTCTGACCACCTGATCCGTTAATGCGGCAAGTCTGACCACCTGATCCCGTTAATGCGCCTCTTACAACATACCAGCTGTATGGAGTGCGGCAAGTCTGACCACCTGATCCCGTTAATCGCCTCTTACAACATACCAGCTATATGGAGTCGGCAAGTCTGACCACCTGATCCGTTAATCGCCTCTTACAACATACCAGCTATATGGAGTCGGCAAGTCTGACCACCTGATCCCGTTAATCGCCTCTTACAACATACCAGCTATATGGAGTCGGCAAGTCTGACCACCTGATCCCGTTAATCGCCTCTTACAACATACCAGCTATATGGAGTCGGCAAGTCTGACCACCTGATCCCGTTAATCGCCTCTTACAACATACCAGCTATATGGAGTCGCAAGTCTGACCACCTGATCCCGTTAATCGCCTCTTACAACATACCAGCTATATGGAGTCGGCAAGTCTGACCACCTGATCCCGTTAATCGCCTCTTACAACATACCAGCTATATGGAGTCGGCAAGTCTGACCACCTGATCCCGTTAATCGCCTCTTACAACATACCAGCTATATGGAGTCGGCAAGTCTGACCACCTGATCCCGTTAATTGCCTCTTACAACATACCAGCTATATGGAGTCGGCAAGTCTGACCACCTGATCCCGTTAATCGCCTCTTACAACATACCAGCTATATGGAGTCGGCAAGTCTGACCACCTGATCCCGTTAATCGCCTCTTACAACATACCAGCTATATGGAGTCGGCAAGTCTGACCACCTGATCCGTTAATGCGCCTCTTACAACATACCAGCTATGGATTACGGCAAAGTCTGACCACTGATCCGTTAATAAAGCCTCTTACAACATACCTGGCTATATGGAGTGGACCACCTGATCCGTTAAGCCTCTGACAACATACCTGATCCCGTTAATGCGCCTCTTACTTACAACATACCAGCTATATGGAGTCGCAAGTCTGACCACCTGATCCCGTTAATACCATACCAGCTATATGGAGTCGGGCAAGTCTGACCACCTGATCCCGTTAATCGCCTCTTACAACATACCAGCTATATGGAGTCGGCAAGTCTGACCACCTGATCCCGTTAATGGCCTCTTACAACATACCAGCTGTATGGAGTCGGAAAGTCTGACCACCTGATCCCGTTAATCGCCTCTTACAACATACCAGCTATATGGAGTTGGCAAGTCTGACCACCTGATCCCGTTAATCGCCTCTTACAACATACCAGCTATATGGAGTCAGCAAGTCTGACCACCTGATCCCGTTAATTGCCTCTTACAACATACCAGCTATATGGAGTCGCAAGTCTGACCACCTGATCCCGTTAATCGCCTCTTACAACATACCAGCTATATGGAGTCGGCAAGTCTGACCACCTGATCCCGTTAATGCGCCTCTTACAACATACCAGCTATATGGAGTCGGCAAGTCTGACCACCTGATCCCGTTAATGCGCCTCTTACAACATACCAGCTATATGGAGTCGGCAAGTCTGACCACCTGATCCCGTTAATCGCCTCTTACAACATACCAGCTATATGGAGTCGGCAAGTCTGACCACCTGATCCCGTTAATCGCCTCTTACAACATACCAGCTATATGGAGTCGGCAAGTCTGACCACCTGATCCCGTTAATCGCCTCTTACAACATACCAGCTATATGGAGTCGACAAGTCTGACCACCTGATCCCGTTAATCGCCTCTTACAACATACCAGCTATATGGAGTCGGCAAGTCTGACCACCTGATCCCGTTAATCGCCTCTTACAACATACCAGCTATATGGAGTCGGCAAGTCTGACCACCTGATCCCACTAATCGCCTCTTACAACAAGCATGGGTTGCTAAAGACTTTTTTTTTATTGCTTTTTTTTACAAGTTTGTATGACACAAGTCATCGTATCCCAGTTACGTCATGATGCTCATCACTGGATTGTCTGGTCCATATTTACAGGCTGCCACCACATAGCTGGAATATTGCTGCGTGCGGCGTTAAACAACAAAGAAAACAAAAAGGCGCGTAACTCTTTTCAAGATGGCAATTATTTCATGTTCGCTAATGTGTTGGCAGGTGAGAAGACTGGTCTCAGTGCTCAGGGCAGGGAAATCAAGACTCTTCTGAATGCAGGACCCAAACACAGAGAGGCACATAACCCCAGCTTCACCATTCAAGCACAGAATGAACCAGCACTTAACTGTAAGTACAGGACACAGATAGATTAGTTTCATTAATTATTTTCTATAAATTTCACTGGAATACATGCTGTTCAAATCACTTCTCGCTGATAACTATTGTATCCATATGTGTGCATCACTGAAAATGATGCCAAGTCAATTTTGGTGTGTGCAGTTTGTATACTTGTCATTGTTGGAGTGTGTGTGCAGTTTGTGAGCTTGTCATTGTTGGTGTGTGTGTGCAGTTTGAGAACTTGTCATTGTTGGTGTGTGTGTGCAGTTTGAGAACTTGTCATTGTTGGTGTGTGTGTGTGCAGTTTGAGAACTTGTCATTGTTGGAGTGTGTGTGTGCAGTTTGTGAACTTGTCATTGTTGGTGTGTGTGTGCAGTTTGAGAACTTGTCATTGTTGGTGTGTGTGTGTGCAGTGTGTGAACTTGTCATTGTTGGAGTGTGTGTGCAGTTTGTGAACTTGTCATTGTTGACATATCTTGTAATGATGCCAAGTCAATTTTGGTGTGTGCAGTTTGTATACTTGTCATTGTTGGAACTTGTGTGTGTGCAGTTTGTGAGCTTGTCATTGTTGGAGTGTGTGTGCAGTTTGAGAACTTGTCATTGTTGGTGTGTGTGTGCAGTTTGAGAACTTGTCATTGTTGGTGTGTGTGTGCAGTTTGAGAACTTGTCATTGTTGGAGTGTGTGTGCAGTTTGAGAACTTGTCATTGTTGGTGTGTGTGTGTGCAGTGTGTGAACTTGTCATTGTTGGTGTGTGTGTGCAGTTTGTGAACTTGTCATTGTTGACATATCTTGTATGGTATTGCACTGTCCCCAAAGTGCTTTAGCATAAACAGCGATCCAGATAGGTTTTCACCCTCAGGAGTACATACTCCTAAAAGTAGCCGTAGAGGTGTACAGGGGTGGAATTCTTTCCTTTTTGGAGTCCAGCATCGCTATGTCTCAAACTGTGGATTTTCATGTGGTGCTGTCTACAAGTTCGCTGATATCTCTTACCAAATGTTTCGTCAAGTATCTTGACATAAACATGTTTGCGTGAACAAAAAGCAAATGATAGTTTTCTGTGAATGTAACATGTTTTCAGATTTCACTGCTACAGAAGACTCACTAAACATGTGATGTTTCAAGTGGTTGCAAGTTTTAGCCATTCAAAGCCAAGGATTGCCCTGTTGCTTTGTAGATCCATAATGCATTGCAAGTGTACAATGTTTACATAAACGTGGACTGAAGTGTGAGGGGAATTACTGTCCAAACTAAAATAGTGGCATACAGGCCTTTATGCTCCTTTACATGATATGCTATTAATCATAAATTTGATAGTATCTTCATGGTTTGGGGGCACATATGTCCTGATACACCCCATATCTGGAGCACTGATAACAGTCACAAAACACAACTGCAGGCTCCTTCAGAAATTAGCAAAAGTTTTTGGACATGCTCAAGAACATCCTTCATCCAGCCAGTTTGGTCAAAGAATCGACAACACAAGGAGGTATACTAGCCATGTCTGGGTATCTGTTTCTTGAGACTCAGATCTCTACGCTGAATGTGTTATCATGTCTCCCTTGACTGTGTTGCCAGGGAAGACCAAGAACGTTGTAACTAAGGACAGCCTCAATCGGATATCACCTCCTGCGTCTAAGCCCAGTAGCAAGCCAGAAGAGAAGTTCATCGTTGACCCTTTTACTGGCATCAGAATAGTGTGAGTATTGACATGTTTTGGGAAGCATCACTGGCTGCAGTGTGATGGAATTTGTATGCAGTGGGTTCCATGTTGTTGGCATCGCTTTGAGCTTTTCTCTCGTAATATTCCAACACTCTGTGCTGCACCTGGATTACTGTTCATTGCTGCGTTACTCATCCATCCTTGGGAATAATTTTTAAGTTCTGAGGAATTATAGTTTACTGAAGGAACAAATCTTGTAAATTCCATGTTAGTGTACCGCCTCCGTGGTGTAGCGGTTAGAGCGTCCGCACAGAGGGCGGAAGGTCGTTGGTTTGATCCACAGACACGTCATACCAAAAGACGTTAAAATACGGTACTTGTTGGTCCTTGCCTGGCGCTCGGCATTAATGGGTTCAACAAGGACTGGTTGGCTTGGAGTCAGTATAATGTGTCTCAGTGGGGTATGGTATCTCAGTGAGCCAGCACTATAAAACCAACTTAAGTCTTGGCTAGTACAAGCAGCCACACATACACACGCATGCACTTCATCAAATGAACAAAATTTTCTTAAGTATGATGTTAAATCCCATTTCACCTCACCTCACCTCTGTGGCAACAATGAACCTATGAAATTAGTTTCCAAAGAATGGCAGTTGTGGTTGTTGACGTAAAGTTACTCAGTAACCAATTGTAAAATTAAAGAACACCATCTTCTTTGAGTGGCATTTTAGAAGTTGGAAAGTACAATATAGACAAACTTTATGGATAACAACTTCATTTATTTGTGAGTGCGACGTTTCGCTACAGATTCTTGTACCGTTGTCAAACAGGTACAACGGTTCAAGAATCTGTATCGAAACGTCGCACTCATGAATAAAAGAAGATGTTATCCATAAATTTGTTCTGTATTAAACAACACCAGACAAGGAAATTAGTCACCAGCATGATACATACACAGTTGGTATTTGTAGAAATTACTTGGAGTATAATCCCATCAAATCCTAACTATCTGAACACAGATCATTTTTCCTTATCTTGAATCATGCTAATTATGCTTGTCTCCTTCCTCTTGCGAATGATAGTGGAACACTTGAAATCCCTTGAAGTTCCCTTCTAAAACAGTTTGTGTCTCCTTCCAGGCGACCTCTCGTGTCATCAGGGGAAATGGAGCTGAAGATGAAAAATCGCAAAGTGATAAAACTTTCCCGCCTCCACCTCAAAGTGAACACTGCTGACCTTCAAGGTGATTGGGTCACAATTGGAGTAGTTGTGCAGAAAACTGAACCAAAGACATCTTCAAGTGTAAGAATATATGAACTCTTCAAAACGTCAAGTAAGGAGATGGAGTGTCAGAGTGGTTAAAGGTCATGCTTGTGACAGTAAACGCTCCGATACGCAACATTGGAGGGTAAACAAAAATCCATGTTAAACCCACTGACTGTTGCTGGGTAAACAAAGCTCCATGTTAAACCCACTGACTGTTGGAGGGTAAACAAAACTCCCATGTTAAACCCACTGATTGTTGCATGGTAAACAAAACTCCCATGTTAAACCCACTGATTGTTGCTGGGTAAACAAAGCTCCATGTTAAACCCACTGATTGTTGCATGGTAAACAAAACTCCCATGTTCAACCCACTGATTGTTGGAGGGTAAACAAAACTCCATGTTAAAGCCCACTGACTGTTGGAGGGTAAACAAAACTCAATGTTAAAGCCCACTGACTGCTGCATGGTAGACAAAACTCCATATTAAAGCCCACTGACTTTTGGTGTGTAAACAAAACTCCATGTTAAAGCCCACTGACTGCTGCATGGTAAACAAAACTCCATATTAAAGCCCACTGAATTTTGGTGTGTAAACAAAACTCCATGTTAAAGCCCACTGACTGTTGGAGGGTAAACAAAGCTCCTTGTTAAGACCACTGACTGTTGCATGGTAAACAAAACTCCATGTTAAAGCCCACTGACTGTTGCATGGTAAACAAAACTCCATGTTAAAGCCCACTGAATTTTGGTGTGTAAACAAAACTCCATGTTAAAGCCCACTGACTGTTGCAGGGTAAACAAAACTCCATGTTAAGACCACTGACTGTTGCATGGTAAACAAAACTCCATGTTAAAGCCCACTGACTGTTGCATGGTAAACAAAACTCCATGTTAAGGCCCACTGACTGTTGGTGTGTAAACAAAACTCCATGTTAAAGCCCACTGACTGTTGGTGTGTAAACAAAACTCCATGTTAAGGCCCACTGACTGTTGGTGTGTAAACAAAACTCCATGTTAAAGCCCACTGACTGTTGGAGGGTAAACAAAACTCCATGTTAAGGCCCACTGACTGTTGCAGGGCAAGACATACTGTATATGGAAGCTGTCCGACATGGACAACTGTGAGCAGATGGTGAGTTTCTTCCTGTTTGGCCAGACCTACAAGGAACACTGGAAGAGTGATGTGGGCTCAGTTATTGGAATACTCAACCCCAGCATCATGGACAATGCAGATAAGGTCAGTCCAGTCACATAATTCAAGTCCCACCTCGGCACATCTACAAACACTTGCTATATACATATGTAGTGGCCATACACCATTTGTCAAGGGACTTTTACTAAACATTTTACAAATACTGGTTGAAACAACTTACCTGACATCCACAACACCATGGAATCTGTTATTAATACAAAATCTTTCTCAATCATTCCACATTTTTTTCTGTTAATGTATATGTGGACATGTTTCCATCAACAGTTTATGTTAATAATGTCCTGGTGTTCAAGGGTAACAAAGATGTGGCTTTCACCATCAACAACCCCAAGCAACTGTTACACATGGGCCGCTCGAAGGACCTCGGCTGGTGTTCTGGAAGGACGAAGAAAGGGAACCAGTGTAACCACTTCATAAACAAGTAGGTTCTCTTGCTGTATTCAACATATTTCATGCCCTCGTTGTTAAGGCACGTGCTGATATGTGTTCAGGGATACTTTGATAACTACTGGTGCTCTGATGCTCCTCGCGTCCTCATGTCAATTCCCCTGTAGGTTTGAACTGTTTTTTTTATTTCTGTGACACTTCTCAACATGAATATGCAGCTTCAATGATTGACACACCTCAGTAGACTGATAGATGGTTACATAGAAGGCTGATCAGGGTTTGGCTCACATTGACCATAGTTGCACATACTCTGTTCCAGGAAATATGGCGACTTCTGCAACTACCATGTTCAGTCTGCCTACAGGAAGACGTCTGCTACTAGGAGTGAGCTGCAGGGCAGGTGAGATTGGGCAGCCCTTTTGGATTTCTTAGTTCAAATATATATGTGCATTAAAATTTAGTCAGTTATGTTGTATTAATAATTGCTATTGCCTCCTGAATGAATCTAGTCCATCTGCAGGGTTGTGTTTGTAATTTCAGTGTTACTGGTTTGACTCCAAAATCTTTTAAAGACAAGCTTCTCCCCAAGAAAGGCAGCCACTTCTTCTATGGTGGACAAACATTTACATCATTGCCGTGAGTTGCATAGAACAAATTCCTTATAGAAACAGAACTCATCCTGTTCAAAGCTGACATTTCTGAAAATATTCAGTTTAAACAACATACATACAGAGTTGCATCAATTGGACATGCCAGAGGTCGACTCCTGGTTTCCCCAGTGCTTTTCACCAAATCTGAGACTTGTTTAGGCTTCTTTCCACATAAAGCTGAACACTTTGACATAGCTTGAACACTGTTCACAGCAGTCTCAAACATATTTTCATCACTCTGTCACCTTGAGAACATCCCCATGACATGGTTCACCTGATGACTGATCTTCTGGTTGGTTAGTAGTTTAACACACTGTGGATGTTGCAGAAATGTGAAGACAAGTGCTCCCAAGAAAGACCGTGTGACACTAGGAAAACTGCAAGTTGAGCAGAAGTTGACAAAGAGCAAGGTGACAACAATGTCCCTCCACGAACTCAAGACTTGTGATCCAGCCACAATGAAAAAGGCAGCAACATCAGAAAAAGAACAAGCCTTGTGAGTTTGTTGCAGAAGTTTATTTAGTACACATTTCCTTTGATTTGGTGTTGATAACTGTGGTAATTAAACTTTACTTAAACTTATTCTCATTGCAGCATCGACATGATTTCCACTCCCACTGTGGGCTCCATGAATTTGGTGAAACACTTAGTGAAACAAGAAAAATCTGAAAAGGGTAACTGACAGCCTCCATACTTGAGTGCCATCTCAATAGTGAGATATGTCCTGTGTGACTGTGATCATTGTGTGACTGTGACCATTGTGTGTTGATTGTGTGACTGATCATTGTGTGTTGTCATTGTGACTGTGATCATTGTGTGACTGTGATCATTGTGTGACTGTGACCACTGTGTTAATTGTGACTGTGATCATTGTGTGACTGTGATCATCATGTGTTGTGACTGTGATCATTGTGTGAATGTGACCATCATGTGTTGTGACTATGATCATTGTGTGAATGTGACCATCATGTGTTGTTGTGACTGTGATCATTGTGTGAATGTGACCATCATGTGTTGTTGTGACTGTGATCATTGTGTGAATGTGACCATCATGTGTTGTTGTGACTGTGATCATTGTGTGAATGTGACCATCATGTGTTGTTGTGTGATTGTGTGAATGTACCGTGATCATTGTGTGATCAATGTGACCATCATGTGTTGTTGTGACTGATCATTGTGTGAATGTGACCATCATGTGTTGTTGTGACTGTGATCATTGTGTGAATGTGACCATCATGTGTTGTTGTGACTGTGATCATTGTGTGAATGTGACCATCATGTGTTGTTGTGACTATGATCATTGTGTGAATGTGACCATCATGTGTTGTTGTGACTATGATCATTGTGTGAATGTGACCATCATGTGTTGTTGTGACTGTGATCATTGTGTGAATGTGACCATCATGTGTTGTTGTGACTATGATCATTGTGTGAATGCGACCATTGTGTGTTGAGAGTGTGAATGTGACCATTGTGTGTTGAGAGTGTGACTGTGACCATTGTGTGTTGATGGTGTAGCTGTGATCATTGTGTGTTGATGGTGTAGCTGTGATCATTGCGTGTTGATATGTTGTGCCAAAACACTAACTGGTGAATATCACATGTCCAAGGTCAATATATCATTGGATAAACCTCACTAGAAGTCAATAATTGTATAATATTGTATCTCTGTCCTCAGTGTGCGGCATTAACCAACAAATGATCCACGACCATACTTTGATGTTTGTGTGACTGTATGTCAACTGGGACCATATTTTGTTGTGGCGCTATCTTTGGAATACAGTGCCAAGACAATAGGCTACAAATGCCTTTTGTTTCCAGTGATAAAAGAAAAGTCAGTGGTAATATCAGTTACGCCCAAAGAGATGATCCAGCAGCACAAGAAGGATATGATGGAGAAGAGGAGAGCGAGGGAAGCAGCGACAGCAGCCTCCTCCCCTCGTCCCACAGTCAACCCCCTCAAGGCCACGCCCTCCATCGGGAAAGGTCTCCTGAATGGGCAGGATGTTTTTCTGGATTTCTCTGCCAACAGGAAACCTTTTGCCGCGTCACCAGCTAACAAGCAGGTGGAGCTTGCAAAGGTTTGTGTAGCCAGGTGATATGGAAGCTCGTTAAGAGTGTTGAATCATGACACAGGTGTCTTGGTAAAGCAGTCCCATGTAGAGTAATGCCTTTACTGTTATAGAACCACAAGTCACAGCTTCTCTTTAGTCCAAGCTTCTCGTCATTCCTAATAGTATCTTTGTCCTGCAGAGGGGCAGTGGGGTAGCCTAATGGTTAAAGCGTTCGCTCGTCATGCCGAAGCCCTGGGTTTGATTACCCACATAGGTACAATGTGTGAAGCCCATTTTATTGTCCCACGCCGTGATATTGCTGGAATATTGCTAAAAGCAGCGAAAAATCAAACTCGCTCACTTTGTCCTGCAGAACAATACATCTAAATGCCAGACACCAGGGAAGCTTGACAGCCTCCCTGCAAGAACAGGACTGAGATACTTGGTTGTCAGTAAGATAGGTACGGTCTTATTATACGATTGTCTGGGACAACAGACAAGTAGAAGAATGATCAGGGGTCAAGTCATGTGATCTACACAATCTTTGTGAACCAGTAGCTTAGGGGGCTTTCTAAAAAACACTGTTACTGCTTCATTTGTTCTCCCAGCCAAACCTGACAGTGTCTTAGGACATCCTGATACTAGCAGGCAGGGGGCGGTGGGGTAGCCTTGTGGTTAAAGCGTACGCTCGTCACGCCGAACACCCGGGGTTCGATTCACTCCACATGGGTACATTGTGTGAAGCCCATTTCTGGTGTTCCCAGCCGTGATATTGCTGGAATATTGCTAAAAGTGGGGTAAAACTAAACTCACTCACTCACTCACTAGCAGACAGCTGGTTAACCATGCCAATCAACATGGATACTAACTTATCTAACGTGAGAAGTCATAGCATATGCTTCTAAGGTTATATGGCAACAGGAATACTATACTAAGTTGTAGTCTATAATGGAACATAATGGAATACTTGTTTTGGTGTTCATGGGATTGATTGTCAGCCTCACCAGGGATATGATGATTCCACACAGGGGGAAATGGTGATATTACCCTAAAACACAACATAGGTTAAGTTACCAGTATATGCTTACAAGTATGTATAATTAAATAAAGATATCATTACACTATTGTATGTATTCTGTACTGTAGAGTATTAGCATGATAACATGTCTGTTTGGGTCAAAATGATAGAGATGAATCACAATCCAACTCCAAATTGGTTCATGATCAACCGTTCAATTCAACACAGAATGTAATGCAAACATCAGACCAACGCTGGATAAAAGGTTTCATAACGTTTGTCTCCAAAATATAAAAGTTACTTACGAAACTGTTTTGTTTTGATTTTTTTCGTGTGATGTTTTACGAGGGTAAAGTAACAGTAAACTGTTGCATGAACCACCTCAAGGGCGGGAAGTACATGCAGCTTAGGATGTTAACATTTAGGGGTTGTATCAAAACTATTCCGGACTGGAACCATTTTATTCCCATACCTGATACAATGGCACAACTGAGTAAAATGTATACTGAGTCAAAAAAGAAACTTCACATTCTTTCTTCAGGGCACTATAAAAGAACAAGAGATGGTAAGATGGTTAAATTGTTATTATTTCATTGCTGAGATCTGTGTGATGTACTCGATACACTGACAGTGCCATAATCAGTTCCATGGGGCTACACCGCCGTTCCAAAACGTGGGTATACAGAATGTCAAGTCACAAGAATAAAAATGCGAAATTTCTCACTTCAGTATCGTGTATGGTCGCCCCGCGCATTCACCACTGCCAAACACCGTCTCCTCATCGACTGCCTGATGCTTGTGAACACGTGGTTGGGGATTCTGGCGCCATTGCTCTTGCAAGGCAGCCAAGTTCCTGCAAATTCTGAGGTTGGTTCCTCACACCACGAAGCCTTCTCCCAAGTGCATCCCAAACATGCTCTATTGGATTAAGGTCAGGGGACCTCGATGGCCATTCCAAGACGTTGATTCCAGCGTTTTAAAGGAAATTTTGTGTCAACATCGCGGAGCGCGTCGGCCGAGCATTATCATGCTGGAACTGTAGACCTGGGCCATGAGCCGCCATGAAAGGAATGAGTTCAGGGTGAGCACCTGGTCGCGTAAGCAGCAGCTTTGAGGTTTCCACGGATGACCAGAAGTCGGAACGGTTGTTCCCACAGAAAGCACCCCACACCATGCAACTTCCACCGAATCTGGCGACTTCCTGTACACAACATTGGGCATACCGCTCACGATGTCGTTTCCAGACTCTATGCCTGCCGCCTGCTTAATCTGAAGGTAAACCTGGATTCATCGCTAAAGACGACTTCGATTCCAGTCTCTGGGTCCATCGGAGGTGACGCTGGGCCCACAGCAGACGTTGACGTTGATGAAACGGCGTCAATATTGGCCCACGATATGGACGCCGAGAATGGAGATTGGCAGCCCGCAACCAATTTCGAATGGTCTGTGAGGACAGTCGACCTCTAAACATCTCAGCCCTGGTTCGTGTAGCCGGCAGGAATCTGTCACGAGGTGACGAGGGACGATTTGACGGTCTTCTGCTCGTGGACGCCACACGTGGACTAACCCGACCTTGGGTGATCAGAAGTGGTGTCAGTTTGTTGTAGACGACCTTGCAAGTCATACACAGTACGCACGACGGCTGCATCCCATTGCTCTTGTGACGCCAATAACTGATTTTCCCGCTTGCAACATGCAAACGCACGCTCACGCATTGCACATTTGACAATTGTGGCATTTCAAGTACTGTTAGAACTGTGGTTTAAAAGTGTTTTTTCAATTCTTGAGGCCAATGCAAACACTCGCATATGAAGAAAACTTCGATGCGAAGATCACGTGATCGACTGCACGTGCAAAACCTGATTTGGCACTAATGTCATTTGCACGACGAATGGATGGGTTTGAGTGGGTTTTGCTAACGTTTTTTTAGAGTCGAAAGATAGGGATCCCATTTCGGATACATAGATGTATCATCAGAGAAAAATTATTCAGTATTTTTGAAATTACATTTTGTGAAGTTTCTTTTTTGACTCAGTATATATCTCACTCACTCACTCTCACACACTCACACACTCTCTCTCACACACACACACACACACACACACACAGAGTAATTTAAGCCTAATATATGCACTACACATTTAGGAATACTGTTATGGTCCTGTTTATATTACTGTTTAGGTCCATCACAATACCTACATGAATCATGACGCTAAGTACACAATATATCTACAACATCATGTGGATGATACTACCAAATGTTCTATATTACAGATATTCTACTAAAATAATAAATGCCTGGTAAACTAAACTAAACTAAAACACCAGATTCTAAAGCCCTTATGATAAATAGTTTTCCAAAAATAATTTATATTTACTTGCCCCAATAAGTACAGTGTTGTGATAATCATGCAGAGCTGATATGCAGCAGTGACCAGAGGAGAGAAATGTTGACTTGTGTGAGACAACAGATCTGGTCACATCCTACAGAAACAATAGAAAGTCAATGACTGGCCAAGCCATGGCTGGACCAGGTAGCTGAAGACAAAGACAACCCCATGCTGACTTACATAACTACCTTGGAATTAGTAGAGAGTGCTTGGGTCTGTTCAATGAGCTGTTGCCATACTTCTTCAGATTATCTACCCAAGTATAAAATACCTTAATTAAAATACACAATATTTACATTCTGCTACACACAGGTCATAGTTGATAGTTTAACTAAACTTTTCTATCTATTTTTCAGCGTAAGGCAATACAGAAGATCCACTCCAAGGGTGGATTAGCGAAAGAAGATCCAAATTCAGTGATGAAAAAGTCTCCAAATGCAGAGAAAGTGAAAAAGAGAGTGCTGGAAAACTCGTTAACAGGTTAGCGAAACTAATGAAAGTTGTTGGTAATAAACTGCTGTGGGTAATCCAAAGTCAAGGCGATGTCAATACCGGCAGCTTTTCACTTCCTGTTCCTCTCTCACAGTTACACAGAATAGTGTTGGCTGACATTGTTTTTTAGACAATCAGCTACCTGCCTACACACACATTTACAAAGATAATGGAGATGCATACATGTTCAAGGAATATAAAATGAATCTACTTCTACCAAATCGTTGTTTAAAGTAAGAACAATAGAAATCTCAAAATCAAAATTCAACCTATATCATGATTTTGTACCACATAGTTTGCCATTGCACTTAGATAATTCCCTGTTGTATCACTCAATACATTTTGTGCTTGCTTTTACATCTTGTGGTTTAAGTGTTCGCTCGTCGTGCCAAAGATCCGGGTTCAATATGTGAAGCTCATTTCTGGTGTCCCTAGTCATGATATTGCTGGAATATTGCTAAAAGCAGCGTAAAACTAAACTCCCACATCTTGTCAATCTTCAAGCAATGATGAATATCATAATAGCTTTATATGTCAACCGTACTGTTTCTCTGAGAATTAAATTGTGGTAAGTTACGATGTATAAATACAAGTTAAGCTGTGTATTTGTATGTATGATTCGACTGTATGTGCCCACGAGGCCTGGTTTACTATAAACATCCTTGACACTGCCACCCCTCACACAGCTTTAACTGCTGTTATTCTGTTCACAGAGGATCAACCTGACAATGATAATGAATGCAAGGAACCACCTAGAAAGCGGTCCAGACTTCTCGGCAATGTTGATATTAATTCGGAAGAATTTAAGAAACTGTTGAAAACAAAATCTGCTCATAAAGGAGCCCTGGCTGAGGTAAGTATGTAGACAGGAAGTTAATGTAACAAAAATTTAAATTTAGGAAAGTGTTTCAGCTTTTTCTCAATAAGCAATCTTCACATGAAGGAATTCGCAGTGGAAGTGCTACAGTGATTGCATGTTAAACATCGTGCAGTGTCATGTTGAGACAATTAGTGTCAAGTTCTTGTTGTTGACGTGTCACATGTAGAGATTGTTAGCATTGTTTTCCTATGAAGAGATTAGAGCTAAACATTTTACAGTTGTGAGTCTTTCATGTTCATCTGCATTTATTAAAGTTTAGGGAATTTTTGTCATGATTTATCAGTTACTGAAGGATTGGTTTCATACTACAAGGGAGACAACTCTTATGCGAGTAGGGCTTTATACATTTGTGTTTTGAAAGATTTTATGTTTCATCACCTGTACGGTAACTGAATTGCCCATGTGGTCTTGAATTAATCTGAAATAAAGCTTGTTCATTCCACTTAAGAGTACCTTAAGAGTCCACAAGGAAATCATTTATTATGTTGCCTTTTCAGGCTGAGGCTGAGCGGGAGGAGAAGTATTTCACTGAACTTGAAAAGAAAGAAATGATGGAAGAAAAAATGCTGGCAGTTACAAAGCTGGAAGTGACTGTCGTTACCTGTCGCCAGGTGAGTCACTCAAGGCTGGTTTACCAATGGTTACCATACTAACAGTCGACATAAAACAACATGTACTTTCTTACCTGCATTTACATGTACAGAGATAAATTTCTGGTTGTAAATTGTTGTACAAATGCTAGCTGTAACTGTCAACAGCTGGGTCACCATAATTATTGGTTGTTTATGATGTTTACTATAACTCAATGGAACCTGACAGACACACCTCACCATGGTCACTGATTGTACTGCTGTTTTCAATAGTCACCTGTTGACAGACACACCTCACCATGGTCACTGATTGTACTGCTGTTTTCAATAGTCACCTGTTGACAGACACCTCACCATGGTCACTGATTGTACTGCTGTTTTCAATAGTCACCTGTTGACAGACACACCTCACCATGGTCACTGATTGTACTGCTGTTGTCAATAGTCACAAACACACCTCACCATGGTCACTGATTGTACTGCTGTTGTCAATAGACATCTGTTGACAGACACACCTCACCATGGTCACTGATTGTACTGCTGTTGTCAATAGTCACCTGTTGACAGACACACCTCACCATGGTCACTGATTGTACTGCTGTTGTCAATAGTCACAAACACACCTCACCATGGTCACTGATTGTACTGCTGTTGTCAATAGTCATCTGTTGACAGACACACCTCACCATGGTCACTGATTGTACTGCTGTTGTCAATAGTCACCTGTTGACAGACACACCTCACCATGGTCACTGATTGTACTCCTGTTGTCAATAGTCACAAACACACCTCACCATGGTCACTGATTGTACTCCTGTTGTCAATAGTCACAAACACACCTCACCATGGTCACTGATTGTACTGCTGTTGTCAATAGTCATCTGTTGACAGACACACCTCACCATGGTCACTGATTGTACTGCTGTTGTCAATAGTAGTCATGGTCTGTTGACTGTTGACACAGAGTTCACTCACTCACCATGGTCACTGATTGTACTGCTGTTGTCAATAGTCATCTGTTGACAGACACACCTCACCATGGTCACTGATTGTACTGCTGTTGTCAATAGTCACCTGTTGACAGACACACCTCACCATGGTCACTGATTGTACTCCTGTTGTCAATAGTCACAAACACACCTCACCATGGTCACTGATTGTACTGCTGTTGTCAATAGTCATCTGTTGACAGACACACCTCACCATGGTCACTGACTGATTGTACTCCTATTGTCAATAGTCATGGTCTGTTGACAGACACACCTCACCATGGTCACTGATTGTACTCCTGTTGTCAATAGTCACAAACACACCTCACCATGGTCACTGATTGTACTGCTCCAGTTGTCAATAGTCACCTGTTGACAGACACACCTCACCATGGTCACTGATTGTACTCCAGTTGTCAATAGTCATCTGTTGACAGACACACCTCACCATGGTCACTGATTGTACTGCTGTTGTCAATAGTCACCTGTTGACAGACACACCTCACCATGGTCACTGATTGTACTGCTGTTGTCAATAGTCATCTGTTGACAGACACACCTCACCATGGTCACTGATTGTACTGCTGTTGTCAATAGTCATCTGTTGACAGACACACCTCACCATGGTCACTGATTGTACTGCTGTTGTCAATAGTCATCTGTTGACAGACACACCTCACCATGGTCACTGATTGTACTGCTGTTGTCAAGAGTCACAAACACACCTCACCATGGTCACTGATTGTACTCCAGTTGTCAATAGTCACCTGTTGACAGACACACCTCACCAGTCACCTGTTGTGTTGACATTGTACTCCACACACCTGTTGACAGACACACCATGGTCACTGATTGTACTCCAGTTGTCAATAGTCATCTGTTGACAGACACACCTCACCATGGTCACTGATTGTACTGCTGTTGTCAAGAGTCACAAACACACCTCACCATGGTCACTGATTGTACTCCAGTTGTCAATAGTCACCTGTTGACAGACACACCTCACCATGGTCACTGATTGTACTCCTGTTGTCAAGAGTCACAAACACACCTCACCATGGTCACTGATTGTACTCCAGTTGTCAATAGTCACCTGTTGACAGACACACCTCACCATGGTCACTGATTGTACTGCTGTTGTCAATAGTCACCTGTTGACAGACACACCTCACCATGGTCACTGATTGTACTGTACTCGGTTGTTGTCAATAGTCACCTGTTGACAGACACACCTGACCATGGTCACTGATTGTACTCCAGTTGTCAATAGTCATCTGTTGACAGACACACCTCACCATGGTCACTGATTGTACTGCTGTTGTCAAGAGTCACAAACACACCTCACCATGGTCACTGATTGTACTCCAGTTGTCAATAGTCACCTGTTGACAGACACACCTCACCATGGTCACTGATTGTACTGCTGTTGTCAATAGTCACCTGTTGACAGACACACCTCACCATGGTCACTGATTGTACTCCAGTTGTCAATAGTCATCTGTTGACAGACACACCTCACCATGGTCACTGATTGTACTGCTGTTGTCAAGAGTCACCTGTTGACAGACACACCTCACCATGGTCACTGATTGTACTCCTGTTGTCAATAGTCACCTGTTGACAGACACACCTCACCATGGTCACTGATTGTACTCCTGTTGTCAATAGTCACCTGTTGACAGACACACCTCACCATGGTCACTGATTGTACTCCTGTTGTCAATAGTCATCTGTTGACAGACACACCTCACCATGGTCACTGATTGTACTGCTGTTGTCAAGAGTCACAAACACACCTCACCATGGTTGATGTCACTCATTGTTCCCCGCCGCAACGCAGAACGGGGGACTATGTATTCAGCGACGTACATACGTCCCGATTCTTGTTAACACGATATCTCATGAACTGTTGTACACAATGTCTTCAAATTTGGTGACAGCCTTCATTGGGGGATTACCCAGACACCAGTCGATGTTGTTGACCTTGATCTTATCTTCAAGGTCACCATGACACTTTGACCACTTTTGCAACTCTTGTTAACACGATATTTCATGAACTGTTGTACCCAATTTCTTCAAATTTGTTGACAGCCTACATTGGGGGATTACCCAGACACCAGTCGATGTTGTTGACCTTGATCTTATTTTCCAGGTCGCCACGACACTGACCACTTTCGAAACTCTTGTTAATGCAATATCTCATGAACTGTTGTACCCAATGTCGTCAAATTTGGTGACAGACTACTTTGGGGGATTACGCAGACACCAGTTGATTTGGGTGACCTTGATCTCATCTTCAAGGTCACCATGTCACTTTGACCACTTTTGCAACTCTTGTTAACACGATATCATAAACGATACACGATAAAACTAACATAATATATCATAAAACATTGCACCCAATGTTTTCAATTATGTCGACAGCCTACATTGGGTGATTATGCAGACACCAGTCATTTCAAGCATCTTGTATGTCACCAAAAAGTAAAAAGTAGTAAATGTGTTATAAATATTCCATTCTTTAGCGGCGGGGACATTGTCATATCAGTGGCAAACACCTGTTGTAGTCCTGTTATCAATAGTCACCTGTTGACAGACACACCTCAACGTCACTCATTGTACTGCTGTTATCACTATATCAGTCATCACCTGTAGACAGACACACCTCTACATGGTCACTACTTGTATTCCGAAATGCGCATTATTTTGGAAAGCGCACAACTCCTGATATTCAGGCCGGAGAGCGGAAGGTCACGGGTTGGATCCCCAACCAGGTCATACCAAAAGACGTTTAAATATGGTACTTGTTGGTCCCTGCCTGATGCTCGGCATTAATGGGTACATCAAGGACTGGTCGGCTCGGAGTCAGTATAATGTGTCTGAGTGGGGTATTCATGCTTCACTGCAGCATGGTATCTCAGTAGGCTAGCACTATAAAACCAGCTTCAGTCTGGGCTAGTACAAGCAGCCGCACATACACATACACATACACATACGCACGCATGCACGTCGTCATATGAGCAAATATTCTCAAGCACGACATTAAACCCAATTTCACCTCACCTCACCTGATATTCACGGTTTCCAGAATGCGGTATAGGAAGGAACTGCCTCCTAATCATGGGAATGTTGTTTATCAAATGTTTCCCAGCACCTAGTGCTGGTCAGAAGATGGTACAAGATTGTACTGGGTGGCCATGCTCTGACATGATTGATTGTGTCATCTTGCCACAATGCTGTGGATCATTGCTTGGCCTTACAAACCATTCTTATCTTCAGAGGTTACTTTATGGAATGGATGGTAGGGCTCAGGAGCTTGGATGATGCATCCCAGCTGCACAGATTAATGCACATATCACAGTATTGTCTGGTCTAGGCTTTGTTACACAAAGCTTCTACAGGTTGTCATCCTATAGCTGGACTATTGCTCGGTGCAAGATTAAGCAACCCACAAACATAGAGTAGGTGTGTTGCTGAATCAGGCATATTTTGCTATATTTGAATATATCAAGATTTGTCGGGAGTAACACTCTGTAGAAATTTATTTACCCAGATTGCCATCAGTAGTGTTTTATTTCAGTATGAAGGCCATCTTCAGTCGCATGTCCATCAAAATCACTGGTTCATTGAACCCTGCCACAGGATATTGAATAATCTCCTCCGCGGTACCGCAGGATGCCAGTGGCGTGATGCGTGCTGCTCATCATCTTCTACAGTAAAGTCCAGCAGCTTAAATACCACCCACCACTCTACGTGTATCATGTTTGTTTAATCTCAGTTTAGCCCACTTAACACTCAAGAAAATGATGGGGATCTAATAGGCAGTCCACCTGCAGGCCACTCGATGGTGACTGAAAGCATTCAAACACTCAGTAGCTGGCTGCAAGTGAATATCACTGGAACTGAACCAATACTAAGAAATCCCATTTCATGTTTGTGAAGTTTTGGGTTTTTTACATTGTACAGGAAAGTGTAAAAGGTCACATTATTTGTGTCTTGGGAGTTTTGGGGACTGTTCTCATCTGTAAGCTG